AAACGTTAACGATAACGTTACCATATCGTTTATATAATCAAAATACGTTATGGTATCGGTAACATTATGGTGAGGTTATAAAACGTTCTGTGTTTTCTGGGAATAATAATAATAGATAAAAAATAGTTAAGACAATATTTTTGCATCCATTAAAAAGAACTTCAGAGTTTTTCACTTTATAATGAGTCCCACTGTTTAAGTTTTAAAATGATTTCTATTTCATTTAATTAAAAAGAGCGGTATAAATGCACATTTGTTTATTATTTGTTTCAAAGTTGGCGAAGGTACTCGTAGGCTAACAAACACCACCAACTTTACCAGTAGAACAATGGTTCTGAATAAAACCGAAGTCATCTCCGCTTCACCAAGCGAGGAGTATTTCTAGTAAGATAATTAAACCATGAAGATTGATGACTGCTTTTCAAAAGTCTGCTTCTTGCTGCTTCTGGCACAAGAGAAGTTTTTCAACTAAAACATTCATTCACATATTGCGAAACACAGTCAACTTGAAAATTAGTTTATTAATGTTATTAAGTTATTAATTAACTGCAGATCGTTTGACTGCATAAATCGACGCTATCGTCTATGCGTTATTACCTCCGACAAATGAGGAGGTAATGTTTTTGTAACCGTTTGTTTGCAACCTCAAAATCTTTCAATTTCGAAGTATGTTGGTCAGTGGGTTTAATTAGTTTTTAATTTTTTATAAATTATTTAATTAAGTCTAGATTCTGAGTGCTTTACTGGTTTTATATTTATAGCCGTAAAGTCCTGGAAATGACTGATGGGATAGAGAATTCAGGGGGTCTCAAATGGGACCTTTCCCTGTGTCTTCTGCTGGCCTGGTTGATTGTGTTCTTGGTCTTGATTAAGGGAATAAAGTCCTTGGGGAAGGTGAGCAAAATGACCTCGTGCACATGAGCTAATATTATGTAGTAGACATGTGATAACCTTGGGTATTTGTACTACGGTAGTAACCAACAGCTGTGCATGAAAGTGCATGTATACAACATTGGTCAAACAGGTTGTGCATGTCTCATCTCCAATTCCATGTGCTTATATTTACATAGTAGTAAACAAAAGCTACGCAGTAGATACATACGCTATTAGACACGTGGCCTTTGACGAGAACAAGCAAATCAAATGCTGATTGTGTGTAATTTGGTGACATTGTATGGCGGTGTCTTTCCGATGAATTACCTATGAATAACCTTTTCATTTCTTTACCTATGAAGAAAGCGCAGTGTAACATCGGATTTGAGGGGATACATGTTATAAATTTGAATAAATGGTAAAAATATGGATATCGTAATTTTGTATATTCTGCACCATTAATCATGTTAAATATGTTATCTGGAATAAAAAGTACTGTTTATAACAATTGACACCCGTGAGATAATGATTTGTAAATAAAAGCACATGGAATTGGAGGTGGGGCAACCTTTTTGACCAATCTTATTTACATGTATTTATCCCTCCTAAGTTTGGTCAGGTTAAGGTAACTCTATCTTTTATCCGTATCAGCTGGACTCTATTTCTGTCTCACATAAATCTCTAACATACTCATTTTGTGCAAAGAAAATACGATTAAGATATCTATTCTGACTAATAATAATAATTATTATTATGTAATGGGTGCTTAATCTTGAAGTTCAGTTCAGTTCAGTTTATTTTATTAAAGTCTCACCCATAAGATAAAAAATAAAAAACAATAAAAGTTAAAACAGTCATTACAACGAGGCAGTTCTATAGAGAACTATGAGAGAATTATATGAAAGTAATTATATTTTCTTTATGGTTGAAAGATTTTTTTATTTAACGCTTCATTATGTTCACATTTTAAAGTTTAATAGTAAATTTTCTGCCTGTCTCAGTTTGTTTCCCGTGGTGCAGCAGTGGGTCCTAGAATTTATTTTTCACACATCGTATTGTACATAAATAATTCACATGGGGCGTTTTTATTTTTGTCAGTGTATTTTCAGTATTATTCTTCCAAGACAGATTAAAATGCGTTTAAGTGAGATGGCTTCACGTTTTTTAAGTTACCGAAACAAAAATACACTTAATATATTTTTGTGTTATTCCTTCAAAACAAATGAACGCAGGTACATTTTAAAGTCAGACCGTTCACGTTTTTTAAGTTACCAAAAACAAAGATACACTTAATAATTTATTCTTTACAGGCTGTTTATTTTACTGCCCTTTTCCCTCATGTCATCTTGGCCATTCTCCTTGTACGTGGTGTTTTACTGGAAGGATCCGCAGAAGGCATTAAATATTATCTGACGCCTGATTTTAATCGACTTCTAGACTCTGAGGTAATTCTGTGTTCACATCTTTTATTATTAAAAAAATTTGGAAAGTCAAACTTAAATATGTATGTACATGTCTTGGTTAAGAATATTACTTAGTATTGCGAGAATTTTAATACTACACAATCTGGTTGAAAAATTATTTAATTTTATAATTTAAAACATCTGAAGAATCCTCTACACAATTTCAAGAATGATTCATCACGGGCCGGATGTAAAGCTTTGGTAGCTTTAATGACTTTTCTGCAAATGTTATTCGATTAAATGATTGCCTTAGTTTCTACCGTTTTCAAATGTCAGGTGTGGAGTGACGCAGTCGTTCAGAATTTTTATTCGCTCAGCGTATCTTTGGGAGGCCTGATAGCGATGTCAAGCTACAACAAATTCCACAACAACTGCTTCAGGTAAACTGAGCTGTTTTACTGAACTCCATTTACTTGTGGGTGTTTTTTTAACATGATGTAGACATAGGGGCGAAAGTTAGTTTAGTTTAGAATAAGTATACTGTATGTTTGTTTTATGAAAAAGGTAAATGATCCACATTTAACTTGGACAAGATACGTTTTGCTTAAACACAAATTTGTTAAGACAGCATTTTGGTAGTAATGAAGCAATAAACGTTCATAAAGTGGTAGACGTATCGCAAGCGCAAAAGCAGTATACATTGGGTTCTTTTAACTTTATCTGTAAGATCTAGCAATGTTTAATACAATACAAATACATGCCATAATTATTCCTAGGGACGCGCTAATTTGTTCCCTTATGAACTTCGGGACTAGCGTTTATGCTGGATTGGTCATCTTCTCTGTGCTTGGCTACATGGCGCATATATCTGGGAAAGATGTGGCTGATGTTGCTAGTCAAGGTAAATATATGCCATGTTCCGGTTTTCATTTCAGCAGGTTGCATAGTTTTTACTCAAATACGACACAAAAAGATGCATGCACATGCGCGTGCAAAAATGATAAGATAAAATTCGTATAAAAGTGATGAATGTCACCATGTTGTTGGCGTAAATGTCAAAGTAAGGTCAACCCCTTTTTAGATTAGAAAAAAAACGTAAATTTTGCCATTTTGCGCCATGCAATGTGCTCACATAACACAGAGCTTTGGTTATTTCAGGCCCTGGCCTTGCCTTCATCGTGTATCCAGAGGCCATATCCCAGATGCCGTTACCGACTCTGTGGGCCATTCTGTTCTTCTCCATGATGCTGTTACTGGGATTCAGCGCACAGTTTTCTATGGCTGAGACCGTTTTGAGCAGTATAATGGACGAATATCCACATATTCTACGTGTTAGTAAATGGAGGGAAACCATCATGAGGGGCGTCGTGTGCGGAGTGTGTTTTCTGCTCGGGCTGCCGATGTGTGCAAGGGTAAGATTTTTCTTTTTTGTAGGATCCTTTCAAATCATATAGATGTTCTAAAATTTCAAAATGATTATTTTTATCTGTTTTTGTAATCTGAATATAATGTGTGGTAGGCCTACCAACAATAATTGTTATTTAAACGTAAATATTCTTCGCGTTACTTCACATTGTTAATGGATAAAGTGGGCGAATAGTTGGCGCAATACCGCATTATCCGTATGCATTTTTCATAGCAATATCAACTGTATCTCTTTTAAACCTGTGTTCACAGACGCGTATCCTTGACCATTTGTTTTACCTGGCCCTTTGCGATGGAATTCCACCTTATCCCATGAAGAACCTCATTGTGTTATATCCTGTTTCGTTTAATAGCTATCTTAGCTCAAATAAAAAAATTTAACGCCACACTTACTTTTAATCACACGTGGTTTCAGGGTGGCCACTATCTGTTAGATCTAATGGATCACAGTGTTGGAGGGTTCCCGTTGCTGTTTGTTAGTTTATTTGAATGCGCAATACTGCAGTGGGTGTATGGTAAGTGAGGGGTAATTTGATCTTTTCTTACTCGATTATCTACTCATATACTTGTTTAAATCAGATTACGAAGCGTAAGAAATACATTTTCCAAACGCTGATTAAACGTTAGGCATACGCTAAATACGCTTATCCATCGTTACAGAATCGTTCAATACGTTACTCGTTCGCGACCATTACGTTACTTATGCGCTACGCAAAGGCAAGATTTTATCAGTCACCGTATGAGAAAACGTACCTGAACGTAACATAAACGCCATTCTACCTTATGTCTATCGTATCTGTAGCGTATGGATGACGTATGGGTAGCGTACAACTCTGACGTTCGAATACGCAAAAAGTTTCGAACATTCTCAAAAAATTCCCTCTACGAAAGTGAACGTACACCAACTTTTACCCGGATACGCAAAACGTATAGGGTGATTTCATAAGCTCAAAGTTTTGAGTAAAATCAAATACTTATACTCACCTTTTTACGCTAGATGAGACAGAACCTTTACTACGTAACGACAGTGCGTGCCTCAGCTAATTGTTTAATCTAATATAGATCATATATTATCAGATTTGCATTAAAGAAACACATCTAGGGATACCTGTACATATTGGGAGGAATTGCCATTAAACCCATAAGCGAATGTGGAAGCTTATGGCATATATTTAATTTCGTTTCATCGCGACTTAATTGTTTTTTGTTTCACTCTAGGATGGTCCAGGTTTTCTGAGGACGTGAAAATAATGCTTGGCAAGAAGCCTGGTATCTACTTTCGGATCACTTGGTGCTGTTTATCGCCACTTCTTATGTTGGTAAGTGAACAATGAAAGTGAAAGCTTGGCCGTTAGAATTTATGTATAGTCAGAATTTTTTCATATTTCGAATATTGGAAAGATGTGAGCCAGAATTGAATTTTAATCTTTCTTTCCACGTCGGAAGTTTGTCTTACCTATAATTACAAGTGCATTCTATTGCAGGCTGTCATAGTATTCAAATTCATTCAGCTGAAGCCATACATGTATCATGGCTATACATTCCCTGTATGGGCTCAGGCCATAGGATGGGTAATTGCCTTGACCCCCGTCGTCCTCATCCCTGCCTGGTTCCTGGGAAGATACTGCTACGATGGCGGTTTCCAGGTTGGTAGCGATTGACAGTAAAATAACAATTCCTTGTTTGCAACTTAGGTTCTACTACTTAATATTAACTTTAAATAGGAGAATTAAGTATGTTTAAACAAGGGGAACGGAAGAGCGTGGGAACCCATATTCCGTCTTTCATTTTTTCAGTCACGTGCAAGCTCCTTACAGGCGTAATCAGTTGTTTATAATGTGCACTGTCTATTCTAGGTGAAGTTCTTGTAGTAGATTTGGAAGTACAGTTTTGACTTATGCCCTGCCAAATATTGAAATGCATATCTTGATCAAATTACTTTCAGACAGTAATAGATTGTTACGCCATAGTTATATATATGTGATTTTTTAGGCCTTAAAGAGAGCTGGATCACCGCAAGCTGACTGGGGACCTGCACGTGCAGAAGACCGCGCCAGGACAATCTACCACACGGATTCCAAGGCAAAAACTCTCAATGGAAACGGTACATCCAACCCCGCTTTTGATCAATACTCATACGAGTAGATGTAAAGAAAAACTGGAATGAACATACACTGTATGCTTCACTGTAGATGTGAACTTGAAGAGGGTTTTTTTTTAACAGCGAATATAGGGGCTTACTTTATTTTCAAACAGGAACTTGAAACAGAATTAACCTGTGTGAAAATTATGTTAGCATAGCACAGCAACGCTCACGACCGTATACTTTGCTCTGTTGAGTAAACACAGAATTGAAACCAGGCGTTATTCCGATACACCACTGAAGGAGCTTATATGCACATGTTGTGTCTTGAAATAAGTTTAAAACGTGAAACATTTTTTTTACTTATTATTAACTTGATTTATACATAAGAGAATATATTTTGAACTCTGCCGTGGTTTTAAAATATTTTAACACATTAAATGACGCGGAAATGTTCACTTTTCTCATATAAAACAAGTACACTTTATTATGTGAAGAAGTATCTACAAAATAGAGCAGAGAAATTAAAAATGTTTTAGATTAAATCTTTATGCTTTTATCCGGTTCATTTACACATTGACGTATTAAAAAACTTTAATGTATTTTAACTCTCTATATTCAGGTTTTAGTCCCTCAAGAGTCATACAATGTAATTCTTTAAGAGACTAAAACCTGAACAGGGAAGGGTGGTTTTTGTATATGAAACGTGAGACGTTAATAAATCATCATCATTATTATTATTATTATTATTATTATTATTATTATTATTATTATTATTATTATACAACTTCAAGTTGGGAAAATACATCTGACAGGTCGCCAACCCTGGGTTTTGGGGGTGAAGTAGACGATCTTGTTGAAACTACTAGTTTTCATATGTCAAAGAAATGTAATGTAAATTTTCGGGATAATATTGTGATAAAACGATATTCTAAATTCATGAATAGCGTAACTAACAAAAATCGCCTGCTATAAAAATCGAAAGATTTTGCCAGATATTTTCTAGCATCTTTCTGTAGCATCCATTAAATCGTGCATACCTGAAGATATAAAAACATCGAAAGATTTTGACAGGTAAGCTATCGGTCACATCAGTGATTTAATCAGTGGCCGACTACCAGCAGTAATTATGGGCCAATAATTTAACACTGGCAGATCCCACTGGCAGATCCCGTTATCCCATTTGATAACGAGCAGATCAAACGCACTGTGCTCGCATCTCACGCGTAGGTCTGGGTGACACTGGTAGGTCTTGCGAAAATCCCCCCCTCCCCCCGTCAACTTTATATTTATTCTAATACTGACTGTCTGTGTCACTTTCATACGCCCAAACTCCCTGGACTCCAGTGAATAGCGTACCTTTGGGTATGGTATGGGGAAATTTCGAGTTCGTCAGGTGTGTCTTCAATCCTGAATATCGAATAATTAAAATGTGCTCAACTCATTTGACTGCATGATTTTATAACTAAAAGGGATATTCTTTATTAAAGGCTTTAAAGAATAGAAAAGACATGAAAATTATATAAACCCCACAAGCAGGAGAAGCCAATAGGTATTGGCTGCTATCTGGAGCTTGGAAATCCATCTACTAGGTAGATAGCCTAATGACAGCATACTGTATTTTGATAGCTTAATATGCTGGCTCCCACCCCTGTGAAACGGCATGGGCAACATTTACGTCACCCGACAACGTAATCTAGGTCTGTACATGTATTTTTTTCTTTATTTATTTATTATTTTTCTTTCTTTATTTATTTATTTATTATTTTATTTTTATTTATTTATTTATTTATTTTTGTGGTGGAGTGTTTATATCGCACCTTTTTTTCTAAAAATCGATTGTTTTATACATGTAGGGTGGTTATCAATTTCAACATATCTCTATCTGTACACATTGAGTGCTGGTTCTCCGAAATTCGAGAACTAGATTTCACCCTTTCTAATTTCTTTTAAAGATGCATAAGAAACCTTTTTTTTTTTTTTTTTTTGCTACAAAAGTCGACCAAATGTCACCACGTAGTTTCAAATATTTAGAGAAATACCAAAAGACATTCATATTACCCGAAAAATGATATTTGAACGGATTTTTCTGCTTGCTCTCTCTGCTGTATATATAGGCCTAAATGGGCCGCCAAACATTAGTGAGGACATTCATGACACTTTTTAAACAAGAGTTAAAGTCGATTTTTAAGGATATAAGTAGCTTTAGTTTAAGGCCAAAAAATTTAAAGGTGCAGTTTACAGCTTATTTATGGCTGATCGAGTGATTAATTCGGTTTATTCATTAGCAAGTCGACTTTATTTGAATCGTATAAGAAACTAATAGAAGTGATTTCTGGGGGTCACTGGGAAACCATGCCCCACCATCGCTCGGTTTAATATGTACCTTTAAATTGTGCCTGAAGTTGTGATGAGAATACGTGAAGGGAGCTAGGCTGGTCGGTCACTTTTAGCTTGAGGTACTCGTGAGCTTAGACGTTGTGTACGAAGACACGGATTTCTCAACGGTATAGTAAGACAAGCATTGTCTCTCTTGATACAAATGTACTATGGGTAGTAAAAAAACGGGACACAGTGTATGCAAGCGTGTTTCATATCTTGAAGATAACTGTCAATTTTTTTTTTAATATGTCGCTACAAAAATGAAAGTTTGGAGCAGCCAAACGTCAATTGATGGTTATGACGTTTTTTTTTTTTTTTCTAATTGTGGTTTATGATTTCAGTAAATGTGTGTTTGATCGTAATCTTCCCGTGGCTTTTGCAATAGCACCAGAGGGTATCTTCAATTTGAGCTTGCGCATTTCGATTCGACCTCAGTCTCAAAGCAGACAGCGGCTGCTCGACGCATTCACAAGGGCTTTCAAGTAACAGAAAAAAATTCAAGATTATCGCAAGTAAGTGATCATGTCATTGTTATACTTGGTTATATACTAGTTCATAGACTCCACAGTTTTACTGACGGCAATTATGATTCTAGAACTTTTCCTGATTTTGGTTTCGACAGTATTTTTTGACGGAGCTCCAATTACGTGTGAGATAATACACTGTCACCCGTGCGATATATGCCATAACACCTCGAGCGTCAGCGAGAGGTGTTCATGGCATATATCGCGAGAGGATGACAGTGTATTATTTGACATAAATACCGAGAAAAAATATGGCCATTTCACCCTAAAACACCCCTAAAACCGAATAAAGTGACCCTATATCACGCTCTAGAGATGTTATATGGAATAAACTCGTCTACGTGCACTGGTCACCTCCCGCCAAATTCTTATGTAATGTCTGAGCAATTTTGTCAGTTTTGCTAAATACTTGTTGTGGAAGTTCAACTCGCTTGAACAGTATTTAATCAACCGTCGACACTGACCATGCGCGTCTCAGTTGAGCCACACCTAGCTGGGACTGCTGCGGAAAGAAGGTCCCAAGGCAAATCCACTTCTTTTAAGTGACATTTCTGGTAAACCAGGAGTGTCGGACCAAAATATAATCAAATTAATTTTTCACAAGTGCAAAGTAGAAAGAAATTCACGTTTTTGTGATATTTCTGACAACGAGGCAGTTTTGTAATATAATCAAAGTCAGACGAATGTTTATTACAAGTCCACAGGAGTAATAATTCTACGTTTTAAATGGTGACATTTTTTACTACGAGACGGTTTCGGAATATACATGTGATTTTTAAGAGTGTGAGAGATTTTAAATTTGTCTATGTATATAACGCAAGCAAAGTCGCTATCCTCTTGATGCCAAAAGGTTACATGTCAGGGTCGGATCCAGAGATATTTTCTGAGAGTCTGCCAAATTATCTTTGTTGATCCATCCTCCATTTTTGACCTTCTTCCGACAGAAAAAAATAGATACCCTTCAATGTAAACTTGAAAATCTGCCCGTCTTCCGGAAGACCCAGAAGACGGCCTAAATCCGCCCCTGAAAAGTTACGGAAGATAAACAAAATGAAAAAAGATTTTTGAATTAAACTCTTGAATACCCCACCATCCAAGAAGGCCCGAGGGTACACAAAGAAATGCTTCCTTAATCATCAAAGTGGCGATAATGTGCGATAGAGCTACATTAGTATGTTTAACTTCAACTGCTTGAGATGTTAACTAACTTTATAGTGTAAATTTATTGGGTAAGGTCTATCTGTATCTATCCAAAAAGTCATTGCCAACGTCTTTCAGTTCTGTGGCATGTTTTAGGTAAAGGAATTACCATTGAAAAGGATGTATACATTGTATACAACGATATTAGCGCGTGAATGTCTTAATCATGTGCTAATACATTTCTAAAATGAAATCGTATTTCTGATTGTGTGTTAATTTACTTTATATTGCAAATTTATTGGGTAAGGTCTACCTACATCTATAACATTAAATAACTTTTCTGTAACTGTATTACATCTACATGCGTTTCTGCACGTCCACATATTTGGCCAAGAGTTAACCGTGGGACCTTTACGTTTGGTTAATTTTACTGTGAGAATGAGATCGTCAGAATGTAGCATGAGAAGAAATTGAATGTAAGAAACTTGCCTGATTTTTTTATTGAACTCTTGACCACTCCGGCGTGTAAGAAGACCCGTGGGTACAAATAAAACGTGTCCTTGATCATTGAAGTGGCGATAATGAGTAGGCCTATGCTTGACTTCATTTGCTCCTGCTGTTAACGTACTATAGTACATGTACGTTATGTTGTAAATTAATTGGGTAAGGGATATGTATTTCTATCTAAATTAAACATTATCGACGTTTTTCAGTTCTGCACAATCTACATAAAAGCCAAACAAACCAAGGTTCAGCTTTTAGTCAAATCCTACTGGGTCCTAATATGTAGTGGCAAACATTAAAACCCCAGGGAAACATGTGAAGAATACTAAATTTTAGAGCGACTTTTTTCAATATAGATGTTCATATATCTAAGCCAATATACCGATATTTTTGACGCCATCCCTATTGTATATGCACAGCACTTATCCATGGAACATCGTTGCAAGGAGACATGATTGTGCCGGAAGTGCGCGTCGTATGACGTCGAATAGTGTAAGACGTGAAGCTGCCTGATCATTTTAGCTGGAAGTACACGGGAGTAGAGTCATGTGTGCAATGTTGAAGCGCATTTTCCGCATTTTTTCTTTTGGTCTTTTGGTATTTTGAGCAGAGAATACTTGTAGAAATGCGGGGTGCCACGAAGCTTGAAAGTGCCAAACTGTGTTCATTTTTAGTCAGCTTGTCTTTTAATAACTTGCTGCATTGACCGGCAGCGCGACAAAGAACGTCACGATGGAAAATTCCCGCAACTATTATATTATTTGAAATTTTCTCTGACGAAATTCTGAGAATTATCTTCAACTACAGACATTTCTGGGAATATCTAGTGAAAAATCAATCTGTGGGCCTGGCAGAGGGTAGGGTAGGAGAAGGTTGACCGATTTAATAGTTTGTAGAACGCGTGTTTAACACGTGCATATCGTTTAGCTCTAACTTCTAACTTGTTTTCATCATACACTGTATCAACACTGTACACGTTTTGCGTGTCTGGTATTACGACCTAGGTCGGTGAACAATCGGCCTCTTGTAGACAACGAGCCGGTAAATGTTTAAAAGCAATGTGCAATTTAAATGTTGCAACATGGAATGCCTTTTAAAGGTAATCTAGTAGCAAGTGTTTGATTGCAACCCAATCAATACACAATTTATGTAGACAAATGTTCATAAACACAACGAAGCTCTCTCTGTTTTTGCTCTAAAGTAAATACGATTAAGTTCATACGACTGAAAATTGTTATTCGTAAATAATACAAAAAATTAATATGATGCTAAGTATCAAAATGAGACATGATCAAAAACAACATTAAGTTATCGCACATGCGTTCCCCATACAAAGTAGAAAATCTTGGCGAAAGAGAAAGACAATGGCTGCATCTCCTGCAACCAATAAATAATAATGATAAATCACAAAAACGAACTAGTGCTTAACGACTTTTTTTTATTTATAACGATCACGGCATTAGCCTTTTTTCTACTTTGATCATTAGTATACATGTTCTTAAACCAGATATCAACTAGCAGTTTTTTTATTGTATTCGTAACATGTCCTAGATAAAACACCTATATCCTAAATTACACAAGTGTCTGTTTGCGACAGAGACAGGGGGGTTTAGAGATGGATAGCAGGAAAGAAAGGGATGAGCGAGCTTGGGCAAGTACGAGTATGGTAGAGACGAACTGCATGTATGCTCACGCAATATTCCCATCATTTGAAATAGTCATCTTTGATAAAAGCGCAATGAAAATAAACATCTTTACAGCACAAACTCAATTTAAGTTGCTCTATTCACCTCAAACGCTCTTCTGCACATACGTGGCCAAGAGTTAATCATGGGACCTTAATCGTCAATTTTGCTGCCAGATAGTGATTGGTTTCCGATCAGGAAACTTTGCCTGATCAACGACTAGGGTGATAGCTGCAATCTAGTGCCTGCGTTTGATTTTTCTTCATTTTGTTTAGGAGTTTTGGGATACTTATTATGATTTTCCATCAAACAAAGGCATTTAGTCCCCTCTTTATTCATAAAATCATAAGTAAACCTTTCAAGAAATCCCTGGCACCACATCGTAGTTCTCATTTTTGTGATTAAATCGGCGACAAAACAGTGTTGTCATCTGTTAAGGTGAGCGAAATTTGTTGGAAAGTAATGTTACAGTTTTAACCCCTAAAACGCCACTGTTATGTCATCAGCTCGAATTAACAATATCTCCTGGATGCTAGAACCAATCTTCTTACCATTCGACTTTTATCGGCCACACTCTCCCCGCTTCGCTATTTTGAGTTTAAAAAAACGCGATGAAAAAATATATTATTATTAACGTGTTCACGCAGAAGTGAATGCTTAAACACCGTAAAACTGATTCGTAAAAGCTCGCACCCAAATCGACCGAAATTTTCCGATTATATGACCAAAATATAAAAAAAAATTGCAGAGAGTGATTTTAATAAGTATTTTAATTTATGATCATTGCGTTCTGCGTGGAAAACAAATCATAGGAAAGGAAGGGTATGTGAAATATGAATTGCACTGCGTTAAAGTGATACATGTATTTATAAGCGTGACGATCTACCGGGCACTAGGCCCCAAAACACAAACACTCGACATCAGTCCCAAACACGTGACGACGTTTTTAACCAAGCGGTCGACATCGTACGTTGGACATCAAATCTAAGATAAGACTTTTGATTTTGTAACCACGATGACTTTTCGAAAAAACTAAAAAATAAGCCTTAGACAACCAACCAAGTGAGAAGTTTTTGACGAGTATAAATACCTAGGATAGCCGTACTTTCTCTCATCACACGAAAACGGACACCAGATAAAGTGAAGAAAATGCAGGAAGAAATGGTACGTTACTAACTTTCTTTCTTATAGTAAAATATACATTGCATGTAACGAAAAAATTTAAAGTGATGTGATTTAGATTTATCTTTTTGTTTAATCCTTTGACTACATGTGACTTTTGAAATTATTCTCTACAAAAGCATTTCAAAATGTTTGTGTCATCATTTTGATAATAATTTATAATCAAGCTAAAAGTTTTGAAAGAAATTATAGGTTTAAGGTACGAGTAGATCGGTCGTTACGTAATTTGACGCTCTGCGCAATTTCTGCGCATCGCACATCCTTACCATCCTTACGTGATATATGATTCTGACAATTTTGTAAAATAAATTTTCATTCTATGTGAAAAACAAACAGTTCTACCTTTTGTATTTAAACCATGTAATATTAAAGGTTTAAGGAAGATCAGTCGTTACGTAATGTAACGCTGTGCGCAAATCCTGTGCATCGTCAATCCTTGCCAACGTCGTAATGGTTGATTTTGTCAATTTTGTGAAATAAAACCTCTTTCCGTGTGAAACAAACACCATTGTGTCTTTGGATTTAGCCCGTGTAATATTAAAAGCTTAACGAGTGTGTTCCATGTGAAAAATGTTGAACGTACGTGTTGAACGAACATGGACATATAGGCCTACAGTACCTGCAGATTCACCATATCAATGCTGTAGTCGTGATTATTGCAAGCAGGGTCCTTCGAAGTGTGTTACGAGCCATATTTCAAAAACTCTGCCAATTAATCATTAGATATCATACAAGAGACAAATGATTTACTTTGGTATCTCACGCAAACACACAATATCAAACGACGATTTTTTTTATTTCGACGAAAGTCTTATTTCCGCTGGCTAAAAAAACTAGCACACGTGTTTTGCCCCATTTGAGCCAGCATTTGCGCCCGAAACATCAAAGAATTGCAAAGAAATGGGTATGCATTATATCTTATTACTTCAAGTAACAAGTCTTGTTCCTAATTTTATTTTAACACGATGTCATGAGGTAAATTTTTATGATATCAAAGTAATTAAAAAGCACCCACTATATCATTGTTTTGCATGGGCACTAGTGCGTCACGCAGGGTCTAATGCACTTCAACTTGGCCTAGTTCGCTTATCTGATCATTTTTTTTTCCACACGCACCTTCACTGCAGGGGGTCTAGCAATTAAACCTCGAATCCAAAATCGATCCGTGTGGAGGCGGGGAGACCATTGAAGGATTAGGCGGTCTTGCTTTCATTTAGGGTCCGCCATATTCGACCCGCGGATCAGTAGATTCGAGGATCATCTCTTCTGAATGTGACCTTACTCAAAAAAGAAAATGTCGTTGACATATAAACCTAAAGTAGCATTAAATGTCAGTAAATTTACATGTTGAACATGAACTAATATAAATACATATTGTAACTTTATGTTTACATTGCCGGCGTATGTTTTTATTGATATCAGAACATAATCGTATTGACGCATGCGCAGTAGTATCTCTAAGCTGTGGAGTTCATCAGTTTAGTTGTGACTACTCAAGCATACAGACGCGTAATATGGCTAGTGGTAGTGCTTGTTGTTGCACATAATTGACAAACACATTTTTCAAAGCAACTTCGACCGCCATTTACTTTCTAACTTCCTACTGCGCATGCGTCAAGGTATGAGAATGTCCTCCGAGCGTAGCCGAGAATTAATTACAGCTTTGGAAGTAACTCGCTCGCGCTGCCAGTAATTACGCCGCGGGGTATTCAGGGCACAGACCGTGATCACAAGATACCGCCAATAGATTTTTAGAAAATAGATTTTTCATGTGAACGGTCCCTAATTTTACGTTCGCGGGTTGATAATCCGATGCTCGAAGTCCTATTTCGTCTAAAAGACCTGACAATTTCTTTTCGTTATCTTTTTTTCATTTCTTTTTTCTTCTTCTTTTTTACTTTCATAAAGAATATTCATTTAAAAGATAGCATATTTATTCTGGTCAAATGTTACTTTCACCTTTTTATCCATTCAACATTGTCGGTTTATTCTTAGCCCCTAAACCATATTAATCCCACTTCTTTTTCTTATTTGTATATTTTAAATAAAGGAACGACCCCATGTACAATTGTGGACAAACATATCTTGTATCAATACTAATTGATAGTCTTTACTTGTTATCCTTGAAGGCCGAAGCCTGCGTAGAAATGGGTTGTTTGGACTCAAAGACAGACTCCTTGAAAGACAACAAGCGTCGAACCTGGGGAGGCAAGTTGGAATTCATTATTACATGTGTTGGCTATGCTGTTGGTCTGGGATCGGTATGGCGCTTTCCGTATCTGTGTTACAGGAACGGTGGAGGTAAGTTCAATCGGGGCCAAAAATCTCAATTTCTACAGCATATAAAAATCACGCTCCAAATGTATTAGACGAAGCTACATTCATTTGTTAGAATTCCGTTAACAATTCTATGATTTAATTAGTGACCTGATTGCCTAATAACAGGTTGCTTGCTTTTCAGGCGCGTTTTTGATACCATACTGCGTCAGTTTGCTCTTGGTTGGCCTTCCATTATTCTTCATGGAACTATGTTTTGGCCAGTTTGCCAGTCTTGGGCCTATCACTATTTGGAAAATAAGCCCCTTGTTCAAAGGTAAGATTCATTTCCTCATTGATGTATTGATGTATAACTTAAATGTAAGCTTTTTGCATACTTAAAACGGGTAATTAGAAGATTACATCCGATACTTAAATTTTCGTCTCTTATGCTTTAAATGTAGGTATTGGCTATGGGATGATGATGATTTCTTTGTTCATCGCACTTTACTACAACGTAATAATTGCCTACATCCTTCACTACCTCTTCGCCTCAATGACGGCTAATTTGCCGTGGTCTGCTTGTGGGAATACATGGAATACTGACGCTTGTTTAGTAGGTAAGCAAATATATTGTTTCGCAGCAAATATACTGTTTCGTTTAAGATAATAATAATAATAATAATAATAATAGATAAAAATAGCGAAGACAATATTTTGACCATTTTTGCATCCATTAAACAGAACATCATGGTTGGCACTTTTTCACTTTATAATGAATCTCACTGTTTCAGTTCTAACATGATCGAATATATTTGTGTAATCCTTTCAGCTTAAAACACATTCGTTCTGTTTTCAGTCAATTCATAAGAACGGTATAAATGAACATTTGTTTACTATTTGCTTCAAAGCTGGTGAAGGCACTAGTATACGGACAAACAACACCAACTTAATCAATAGAATAACGCTTCTGAATACTACCGATACTACCGAGGTCATCGCCACTTCACCAAGCGAGGAGTATTTCTAGTAAGATAATCTTTCCATGAAGATTGATCAGTACCTTTCGGAAAGTCTGCATCTTGCTGCTTTTGGCGCAAGAAAAGTTTTAAATGCAAAACATTGTATATATGCACGAAAGAAGAGTCAACTTAGAAAGAGTCAACTTAAAATTAAGATTGTTTTATCAGTATATGAATAGTTATTAATTTTAAAATATGAATAGTTATTAATTAACTGTAGATTGTTTGACTGCTTTAATCGACGCTATGGTGTACATGTAGTTTAATAATTGTAGCCGTAAAGTCCTGGAGATGACTGATGGGATAGAGAATTCAGGGGGTCTCAAATGGGACCTTTCCCTGTGTCTTCTGCTGGCCTGGTTGATTGTGTTCCTGGTCTTGATTAAGGGTATAAAGTCCCTGGGGAAGGTGAGCAAAATGGCAGCAAATTAACGCATGTCCTTCCAACTTTCTGTCGATCCATTTTCTTAGCTTGTGTTACGTGGTGCAGAAGCGGGTTCTAAAATTTATTTGTTACCAAGCACTTATTAGCAAAACATAATAGAAACAAATTATACATGTATACATCATGTACCTCGCCTTTTTCCAGGCATCCTACTTATTCTTGCGTTAAAAATACTTACGTTTTTGAGATCCATATATAACTTTTTAAACAAAGCGAGCCATGCTAAGCCTTAAAGACAAATGAACGTATATGTAGGTACCTGTTAATGTCAGTTTTTTAAGTTGCCAAAAACAAAGATACACTTAATATATTTATCCTTTACAGGCTGTTTATTTTACTGCCCTTTTCCCTCATGTCATCTTGGCCATTCTCCTTGTACGTGGTGTTTTACTGGAAGGATCCGCAGAAGGCATTAAATATTATCTGACGCCTGATTTTACTCGACTTCTAGACTCTGAGGTAATCATGTTTTCACTTCTTTTATTCTTAGAATTCTATTCTATGGTGATGTTGTCTTTGGTCGTTTTAATGACTTTTGTGTGAAGGTTATGATTGCTTTAGTTTCTACTGTTTTCAATGTCAGGTGTGGAGTGACGCAGTCGTTCAGAATTTTTATTCACTCAGCGTATCTTTGGGAGGCCTGATAGCGATGTCAAGCTACAACAAGTTCCACAACAACTGTTTCAGGTAAACTGGGCTGTTAAACAAATTCTTACTATTCAATATCTGTTTACAATTGAATTATGCCTGTTTTGTGGTTTGAAACTTCTTTTAAAGCTTAAATAAGGAAAAATTGAATGAGCATCGATAAACATCTAACTTAGACATATTATGTTTAATATGCATTTTTGTTAAGACAATAATTTGTTAGTAATGAAGCACGATCTCAACGTACGGCAAGCACTAAAGCATTATAAATGTTGGCTTACTTTAAATTTATCTGTAAGATCTAACAATGTATAATACAATGCAAATACATGGCACGATTATTCCTAGGGACGCACTAATTTGTTCCCTTATGAACTGCGGGACTAGCGTTTATGCTGGATTGGTCATCTTCTCCGTGCTTGGCTACATGGCGCATATATCTGGGAAAGATGTGGCTGATGTTGCTAGTCAGGGTACGTGTGTTTGTATGTCAAGTTCAGGTTTTCACAACATCAAGTACTTGAAACAGGACTAAAAAGCATGCACGATATGACGCGTGCATGCATAAATGATAAAATAAAATGCTCATAATGATAAATGTTACCTTGTCGTTGGTGTTGGTCAAATTACCCTTTTCAGAAAAGAAAAAATGTAAATTTTCCCATTCAGTGACTTGTGGCATTCTCACTTGGAGTAAACTTAAGATAACACAGTGCTTTCGTTATTTCAGGCCCTGGTCTTGCCTTCATCGTGTATCCAGAGGCCATATCCCAGATGCCGTTACCGACTCTGTGGGCCATTCTGTTCTTCTCCATGATGCTGTTACTGGGATTCAGCGCACAGTTTTCCATGGCAGAGACCGTTTTGAGCAGTATAATGGACGAATATCCACATATTCTACGTGTTAGTAAATGGAGGGAAACCATCATGAGGGGCGTCGTGTGCGGAGTGTGTTTTCTACTCGGCCTGCCGATGTGTGCAAGGGTTAGTTTTTTTTGTAGGATCTTTTCAGGTCGTATAGGTATTTGAAATCTCAAAACGATTATATTGATCTGTTTACGTTATTTGCTATAGAAAGAAATCATATGTCACTTCTCGCCACAAAAATCCCAGATGTGCTATCCCCGGCCGTGTATTAAGTGACAGTTATGCTACCCCCGGCCGTGTATTAAATGACAGTTATGCCACTAACATATTAAATCCTAAACAAATTTTATTGAAATCATATATAGTTTTAAAATATTCCGAAACTAACAAGGAAAGTGTAGCACATTGCATTTAATTTTCGTATGGTTTCAGGGTGGCCACTATCTGTTAGACCTAATGGACCACAGTGTTGGAGGTTTCCCGTTGTTGTTTGTTAGTTTATTTGAATGCGTAGTTCTACAATGGGTCTATGGTAAGTAAGGGGTATTTTTTCTTGTTTTAGTCGGTAACCTGCTGTTTGATAGTGTTCAAGATTAAAGGCATTCAATATCTTTTACTATATGAGTATTTTATTTCATCTTGTATAAAGCACCTAAATACAGAAAAATTAATGACAGAAGTGTTTGGTCAGTTGCACCAATAGCTTGATTTCCCGGATTTTCTTCGGAGACTTTAGCTATCTGCTAGAGTAATCAGTATAGGGGGCACTGTGATCTGGTTAACAGTTAATGCTGATTTCTGGAAAGCGAAGCACGACGTTATGATAACGTCAAGATACCTTACTACGTAATGACAGTGCGTGCGTCAGTTATTTGTTTAATCTGATATAGAAATTATATGATTAGTACTGAAGTAACACGTCTACCGACACATATTGGGAGAAATTGTTGTTAAAATCATGAAGCGAATATGTACGCTATAATAAATTAATTTCTTTTCATCGTTACCTACATGTATGCATTTTTTTTTCACTCCAGGATGGTCCAGGTTTTCTGAAGATGTGAAAATAATGCTTGGCAAGAAGCCTGGTATCTACTTTCGGATCACTTGGTGTTGTTTATCTCCACTTCTTATGTTGGTAAGTGAACACTGGTAATAAAACCATAACCGTTGAATGTGAGATGCAAATGCTGTTTTTTGTTTTTTTTTTTTTTTTTTTTTTATTTCCAATATTGCAAAGATGAAAAACCGTAATTGAAATTGGCCTTTTCTTTCCTAGCCGAAGGTTTGTCTTACCTACATGTATAATTACATGTACAAGTGCATTCTTTTGCAGGCTGTCATTGTATTCAAATTTATCCAGCTGAAGCCATACATGTACCATGGCTATACATTCCCTGTATGGGCTCAGGCCATAGGGTGGCTTATTGCCTTGACCCCCGTCGCCCTCATCCCTGCCTGGTTCCTGGGAAGATACTGCTACGATGGCGGCTTCCAGGTTGGTGGCGATTGTTGATAACGAAAGCAACTACGCCTTGTTCACACTAATGTTAAAATATTTTGTATTTTCAGTGAAGCTATTGGCATCTATAAGTCGGAAACGACATTGTCTCATTTAGTGGATTGAATATCGCCCCATGCAGATACAGCTTTTAGATCTTATCAGTTTCATTCGTGTCCATCTCTTTCTTGTTTTGCACTTGAGTTTCTACGCCTTATATTAACTTTGCGTAGGAAAATAAAATAAGATTTAAACAAGGGGCACTGTAAGTCTGGTAGACCGTCTTTCGTTTTCTCAGCCACGTGCTTTTCAAAATCTCTAGGTAAAGTAGTATACTGGTAAGTACTATTGTGATTTATTCCAGACCAAATATTCAAATGTGTGACCTCATCAGATTACTTCCATATAATAATACGCCAAAGTAACATGATGTATGATTTTAGGCCTTGAAAAGAGCTGGATCACCGCAAGCTGCCTGGGGACCTGCAAGAGCAGACGATCGCGATGGGACAATATACGACACAAAATCCAAGGCAAAAAATCTCTATGGCAACGGTACGTCCAACCCTGCCTTTGACCAATATCCATGCCAGTAGCAGTCCAAAAAATTAATAGAACAGTGGAATGGATGTATGTTTCACTGTTTCATATGTGAACTGCAGAGTTTGTGGATTAAAAAAAGAAATTAAAATACTTTATTCTTTATAAAATCAGGGCATTTTGCCCCACCTGGAACTGTTGTTTTGTTCATTAAAAAAGGCACACATGCGGGAGGTCTTTAAGATAAGAATGGCGACTTTTTGAACCTTGATAATGTTTGTTGTTTAAAAGACTATCGAACGCCTACTAGTGAAAATTAATATACAGTAATTGCTCGATACTTTCAGTGGGCAAAAATTATCAAAGTTTCAGATTAGTAATATTATAATCGCAAATATTATATTTCTGTACAGCTTTTGTTATGTTTTTACTACAGATAACAGAATTATAGAGTAGGCATCTTTCTAATTATGTTGCCAACACTCAAGAGAAATGTTCTAATTATAAGAAAATAAAGACTTAAAAAATGCAGTAGTTGTAAAATTTGACCCCCCCCCCTCCAGTAAAAAGATCGAGTAATTTCGTGGTTCACAGTGATATAAAACTCAAAACGTTACATACAGTCTGTCATAGACATTTTTATAATGAATGTAAAATTTGGACATAAGCTTACGACCATTGACTCCTAACGCTAAGATATATTTAGATAATGACAAGTTAGTGTTCTTTCTATGGAAAAGAAAATAAAGAATTCATATCTATGCTACAGAGAAAGATATCTATGAAATGAGCTAGAACAAACAATTTTAAAAGACAAAGTATCGTTTAACATGCAGAACATTTTGTTTACATTCCCAGTAGCTTCAATCCAATCCAAGATGCACACATACATGTATGACCAAATAGACACGGTGGGGTGAGTCCAGTCCATAAGAGGGGTGTTGGTCGGGTTGATTTCATTCCATAGGAGGGGTGTCAGGTGGGGTGTGTCCATTTTATATTAGGGGTGTCAGGTAGAGAGAGTCCATTCCATGCAAGGGGTGTCGGGAGGAGCAAGTCTATTACATTGGAGGGGTGACAGGTGGGACAAGTCCATTCCATTCGAGGGGTGTCAGGTGGGTCGAGTCCATTACAATGGAGGGTAGACAGGTGAGTAGACTCCATTTCATTTAAGGGGTGACAGGTTGGTCGAGTCCATTCCATTCGAGGGGTGTCAGGTGGGGCGAGTCTATTACATTTAAGGGGTGACTGGTGGGACAAGTCCATTCCATTCAGGGGGTGTCAGGTGGGGCGAATCCATTACATTGGAGGGGAAGACAGGTGATTCGACTCCATTAAATTTAAGGGGTGACAGATTGGTCGAGTCCAATCAGTGGGAGGGGGGAGTCAGGTGGGGAAAGCCCATTCCCTTGGAGGGGTCTCAGGTGGGGCGAGTCTATTCCATTTACGGGGTGGATAAGGTAGGGCTTTTCCAATCAGTGGTAGGGGGAAAATTTAAAGGGTTTTAAATTTACCCATTTCGCAATTAAATCACACAGGTTTTAATGCACTTTATAAATGTATTAAGTTTAAATTTGTTCACTGAAATGCGCAAATGAAGCAGAAATATACTTCTAATACATTATTTCTAATTATCTCAATTTGGACTTTCTGAAAACCCACAAATTCTTTCCTTATAATTATTATAGTTTTGATCACGTGATATTTTAGTACTCTCGGCAATTAATTGCAGATTTACATTTTTGTCTCGTGGCCAATTACTTAATGAAAATTTTGTGTTAATTCTCATTACGGTTTGGCATTAATAAAAGCGGCCTGAACTGGTCAAATATCAATCAGCCTTTATACTATTTGTAAAGATACTTTACTAATACGATCATATACTACGCGATATGGAGGAGATATGAATTGAAAGTTATACAAGTTTGATCTATAAACGTATGGTGTTGGGAACTGTTTTGGATTTTTATTCTGTGTTTTTAAACAGCTTATTTACTCAAATTCCAAAATCGCCAATCACAAAAAAAAAAAAAAAAAAAAAAAAAAAAAAAAAAAAAAAAAAAAAAACAAGGACATTATTTACAGATCGGAGTAAGCATATCGAATTTGTAAGTTCTCAAACACGAAATAATAAAACTCATTTCATCTTATCATTATTTATATCTTTATCATCATAATTTCATAACAAAATGAAAATAAAACGTCTTATTACAAAATTTATTCAGTTTCCATATAATGGATGCACGAAGGAGGCTCCTAAGTGTGAAACAAAGGCTAGGCACCGTAGGTTGCCTTCAGACATGCTGTGCAGAATCTCGTTGATCTTCTGAAAAGAGAAAATAATGCTTACAACTTTGGACTAAACGAACAAGCTTTTAACAAACGAATAATGCATGTTATAACGCAGAGGAGGGGGTACTTTAAATTTAAATGACGTGCGTGTTTATTGAATTGTCAGATGTTCAGGCTGAGCTTAAGCAAAAAATAAAAAATAAAAAAATAAGTGAGCCTTACGCCAAAGTTATGCTCTGGAATTAATTAATGATATAACTATTTGACTCCTCTTGCTAAAAACATTGATTACACAACCCGTTCTATTTGCGGGATGAGGGATGTTATTACTGTGACTATGTTAGCTCAGTCAATATATCTATCAGAACCCTCAATAGGAGTGCTGAAACACGAATTTTCGTGCTATGAAAATAATTTATAAAACCTTAAATAAAATTATTACAAATACTAATTTTTACAAGTAAAAATCAATAATAATGAATAAAACCCAAAAGAGGCTAAATTAGTCATAAGATCATTTTAAAATTTTAAAATTCCTTTTTATACAATCGCAATTGTCGTCAGAAGGGACGTGTGTGTGGTTGATAAAATCTTACAATGACGTGATACACACGTTGACGGTGTGTATCATTATCTTTGGATCAGAAAATCAGAACTGTAACAAGCATCACCTAATTATTCTTACATTAAAACACACTCGACATTCAATTACGTCAAAATATATTCGAAATCAAATGTCAAGGGTCACACAATATGTTCAAACAGAGCTTAAAGATTTCAAGCAAACGTGCCGGTAGGCTATTATAAAAAGTCGGCTGAGAGCACCAATGCATTGCAACCAATAAATTCTACCACTCTGAGTGACATATAAGTAACAATGGTGATAGTATTACAAATATTCATGTCATAAATATTTGTCGTAAATATTCTTTTATTCGACTGCACCCTTAGCATTTAATGGTTATTGAAGATATGGTGATACTCACAAACATGATTTGCTTGTACTCCTTATAAAAGCTCGACCTTGTGACTGCACCACAGTGTTGCGTCTACACCCGACGCCGCCCAACTACCGAGTGAGGATTGGGGAAGACAGCTCGCACTACGGTGAGCAGCTTATTGTTATGCAAATTACGACAGGTATGGCATTTATTGTGAGAGGTCGTAACTGAAACCCTGGTTCTCGCTTTAGCTAGTGCACGTGCACGTGTTTCTTCTCTTTCCTGTTTTGTTACGATTTTCCTTTTTTATCCCCCTTTTTATGACTAAAAAGATAAACACCAAACAATACATGTGTACGATTACACTCATTAAAACCCCCCTTTACACTGGGTGGCGTCCTTTGTGCGTCCTTTGTGCGACCATGAAACTGGCATCGCTGTGGTCGTAGAAAGGGGGCACAATCATCGCTTTGGTTGTGGAATGAATGTTCAATGATCGGCCAGTTGTCAGCACGTAAAGTTTTTTTTTTTTTACTCTCAGGCGGGGTCGTAGAAAGGCCGTCGTCCAGTGTAAAGGGGGCTTTAACATCCAGTCGCTATGTTGCTGCTTACGCAAAACTTAAAATGAAAGTGGAAACAACCACATACCGACCCAGAATTAAAGGAAATACATGTATAACCGCCAACAAGGCTTTATCGTCCTTTTCGTGCCATTTCGGTAAACGGGTATACTTATGTTTTTCCTTCTCTGAATTGCTTCAGCTCGACTGAATGGACTGGGTGCCACTGCAATGCAATGCAGTGCGACCCACCAACTCGGCAATGCATAACGTCATATTTGGGCCAATTACTTTTAAACGCAACGAAAGTAAATGCATTTTTATTGACTTGTGACTTTGATGATGATCAAAACTTATTATTTCTTGGGTGTAATGTATACACAGAATTTTTTGTGATCATTAGAGCTGTTCCCTTTAGCCTGAAGTTTTTTTAATGTAATCAACCAAAGTTAATCTTCCGATAATCAAGAAATCTTTATACTCGTTCAGTTAAAAATGAAATAGTTTAAGGCTTCACATCAGGTGGATGCTTCACCGGCCCGCCACCAACCTGCCCTCAAGTTAACCTCTCCTTTCTAAAAGCACGATTTTTTAAGAGACGGCAAAGAAAAGAAATCAGGCATTAGGGGGGCGATAAATTATTTCTGCGAGGGAACCAGGGATGAAGAACCGGGCGTGGGGATTGCTGATGATGGTAATTAGCCAAGGCGTATTACATTCTCTTGTCATTTCATTTATGTTGTCTTAGAAACAGATATCATTATCTGAAAAACGGATAATCACAAAGAAACGTTTATAAAACAAATATTCACCTTGTCTGGGAGGCTCGTTGGAGAAATATGAAAAGTAAATGTGACCATGACACGAAAACGCATCGAAAGCTGTGCGATGCATATCATTGGTGAGCAACAATAAAGTGTTCGCTTTATATCCAGAATTTAAATTATTCATAACACAAAATTGCTTTTATTTGCAAGATATAGTAAATATCCTGATAATTTTTTTGCTTCTGAGTTTTTTATCTTGTCCAATTTTTTCAAAGTCAGTTTGGGAAAAATAACTGAAGATAACAATGTGGAATCATGTCCACATAAAAGAAACAAACGACAAAGTCACCAATGGTATCTTTTGCGTGGTTTTCGGTGTGCCTCCGTGTCACTGTCATGCTCATTACCAAACTTTCATAGCTTCTTGTTGAACACGTAGGTCTCCTTTACCCAGTGTTTTTTTTAAACTTACTTTCATTATGATTATCCTATCCCAAGAATGATATTTGTTTCTAACAAAATGTCTAGACAATAAAATACATATTGTTACTCGCCAAATGTTCTTCTAACTTCATGTTTTACATGTTCGAACATAAAGTCGGCATTGACTGAAAAGAAGGCATTTTAATGTATATTAAAATATACGACCTTTGGTGGCATTTTAAGGACATGTCTGGTCGACAGGTAAAATTGCTAAACGCTGAAATTATAAGACAGTGCAAGGCACTCGTGTTATATATCCGTATGGAACACTGCTCATCACGTTTCATACGGCAAGTTTCCATTAGGTAGGGTAAAAACCTTAATATATCTACCTCGTTTGAACTACTAATTTATCAAAGACTCTAAAAATCAGTTTAATGAAATACAAATGTGTACATATACATTTCAGGGCATTTACATGGAATACTAGCTGTACAGTGTGCCAACTTGTCCCGACCCTGGGCCCCCCTTGACGTCAGGTATGGTTTTTCGTCAAATTTTGGGCCACCTGGCATTATACTTCAATTTATATTTCTTTTGCAAAAAAAGTAAATATTTGATCAAGCTTTCTGTGATTCAATATGTTTTACTAAACCACACAGACATATAAATTGATATTACATTAAATAGTTTTAATCTTTTAAGGACAACACATTAGAATCAAAGGGGACGTTTCTTTAATTTTCTCACAATAATCGTTATTGACGAGAATGGAGTATGCTGAATAATAATTACAAACGGCTTTGGTTGGTTTGTACATTTATAAAGAATACAGGTATATGTGTCCACTTTTAGAACATACAAGTCGCCGTGTAGAATAGTTTGTAGAATATCTTGATCTCTAGTGGCATAAAATAAACCCACACTATTCACTCTTTAAATGCACGCTTTTTCAAGAGCAAGTAAAGCTCCTCATCAAAGCCACATGGGTGTTATATTTCCATGCTAACAAGAAAACGGTGAGTTTGTCCAAGAGTTCTCGAATCTTCAAAGTATCTTTTACTCATACAAAAGTTCTGTGGTTGAGAGTTATTCGTAGGAATATTGATCAAATGCAGGGTTGGATGAACCATTGCCATAGAGCGCTTTTGCCTTGGATTTTGTGTCGTACTTTGACCCTTCGCGGTCTTCCGCATTTGCAGGTCCCCAGTCAGCTTGCGGTGATGCAGAGCTCTTCAAGGCCTAGAAACGAAACATACACATAATATTAAAAAACTAAACTATTAAATCTTAAAAATAAGGATAAGTTTTATTTGTTTGTGTGAAAAAATCGTCGTTCAATATCAATCGCCACCAACCTGGAAGCCGCCGTCGTAGCAGAATCTGCCAAGGAACCAGCCGGGGATGAGGGCGATAGGAGTAAATGCAATCATCCATCCCATGGCCTGGGCCCATACAGGGTAAATGTAGCCCTGGTACACGTGTGGTTTCAACAGAACGAACTTGAATGCTATGACAGCCTGCAAAGAAAACATGAGAAGGATACAGGACATCAAGAGGAGGGACAATCCCCAGGGAACCGTTTACGTATTGTGTATTATATAAATTTGCGGCAAAATAATGCCAAATTTGAAGAAAAGTTCAGATTTTAATCAGTTTTCTACATTTTTATCCTGCGTTCTTCACTTTCGAGTTACAAATGACTAAACTACTGTAATGCTGTTTTTGCAACATGGGCAGCTGTCTTAAACATGACTGACAGTGGATTCAGTTGCAGCTTGCTACATGTAGTAAGACATTTAAACAGACATGGTGTCTATATTTCCACCAATAAAGTTCTCAGAGCCACTTACAAACATGAGAAATGGTGAAACGTAAACCCACATAATCCGGAAATATATGTTAGGTTTCTTGCCAAGCATCATTTTGACGTCCTCAGAAAACCTGTCCCATCCTAGAAGAAAGAATTTTTAAAAAAAATCTGATTTACTTATTCGATAAATGAAACTGGTAGCCCAAGTCATTAGAGAGCAAATAATAGTAATATTCATAATGACCATCAAAAAAAAAAAAAAATCTGGTGAAATCCTACATGTTAAAGGGCGGTTGATCGAAAATGCCACGTCAACGAGGAAACGTCACCTACCATACACCCACTGCAGCACTATGCATTCAAATAAGCCAACAAACAGTAGCGGGAAGCCGCCAATATACGTGTCCACTAGGTCAAATAGAAAATGGCCACTCTGGAAATCGAAAAAAATACATATAAAGAGTATAATGAGCGGACACCAGTGGCATTAACAAAGAAAGGTTCCCTCATGTTCAGTTTGTTTGTTAAAATGTCATTAAAAAAAACAATACTATTCAAAGACAACTTTATACAGATATATTAAATTTTTTCTTATCCATTTGTACCCTGTGAATTAAAGATGCCTGTAAAATGTATAAATAATGGAATTACAGAGAAAGAATATGAAGTGCATAGACTAACCTTTGTGCACATGGGCAAACCGAGCAAGAAAAACAAACCACACGCGACACCGCGCATAAGAATTTCCCTCTTTTTATTAACGCGTAGAATATGTGCGTAATCATCCATTATGCTGCTCAATACGCATTCCACTATGGAGAATTGGGAGCTGAAACCTAGCAGCATCATCATGAAAAAGAACAGAATGGCCCACAGCGTCGGCAACGGCATCGTGGATATGGCCTCTGGATACACGATGAAGGCAAGACCAGGACCTGAAATAAGCCAATCACAAATCTTTGCAAAATTTTAAAACAAAATATCACTTGCAATTCCACAACCATTTTTTCTTAAATTATGTCCTTCAAGTAATGACGAAAATCTCGTTTATTTATTTATTTATTTATTTATTTATTTATTTATTTATTTGCAGCGGAATGGATTCTGATCCCTTAAGTTAAACGGCAAACTTTTTTTTTACTTGTGTTCCACAACTATTTTACATGTACCACTTACCCAACGTTTCGGGTGGCTTTCTTTTACAGGCACACGTTAAATTGAATAAATGAATCACTCAGCATCTTTACTGTTTGTGGTCTTAATTTTTGTCTACATCCAAAAAATCATAAGAATTTCATATTGGCAAACAGGACTCAACGTACCTTGACTAGCCACATCAGCCACCTCTTTTCCAGATATATGCGCCATGTAGCCAAGCACGGAGAAGATGACAAACCCGGCATATATGCTTGTGCCACAGTTAATAAGAGGCACAATCAGTGCGTCCCTAAGAATATACAGTCAATTATAAATATGCAATTCGTCAATGCATCATTGATTTGCGTAAAGGCTTGAAGCAATACAAAGTCAAATAACACAGCAAATGACCACTGCATTCAACAGAAAAACAACTATGTTAGCCACTCAAAAGGTGTTTTTTAAATACATTTTAAAATATCAAGCAAATAAACATGTTAAGATTTAGTAAATGGTAAGATTAAACATGGTCAGATATATACTGTAAGTAGTTCTATTAAAGCCTCAGCGATAGGACAAATAATATGCAGGTATTAAAAAAGAACAGAAAAAAAGCAGTCAACGGCAATGGTGAAGTACCCAATGAAGATAAATATAATAATTACAGAACTTGATTACTATACAATGTATACAGTGCATGACATTTAAAGCAAAGTGCAAAACAAAACATGCAAACTCATGCAAATTATATGAAGGATATGTACGTCAAATCAGATTGACTAAAGAGGAGGGAGATTAAGAGGGACAGGCAAGCCCAAGCCATCGATTTCATATCCACACGAAGTGTGGTAAAATATCCATACACAAGTACCCATATATCCATTCACATAATATTCAAAGATACACTGTAATTAATCCCCTATGCATGCATGATTGTAGGTATAAAAATCAAACCAAACCATGCTAAGTCTATCAAAAAAGGGTAAATTCCACCTAAATAAGGTACATCCCAATAGTCTGACATGGGACAAACGTTGTATTTCACAGTCCAGTCTACCTGAAGCAGTTGTTGTTGAATTTGTTGTAGCTTGCCATCACTACCAGCCCTCCTGAGCATGCGCTGAGAGAATAAAAAATCTGAACGACTGCGTCACTCCATACCTGGCAGGTATAAATGATAAGAACCAAGTCAACCTGGTCTATTCTAACATAAACTTATCGAAGATAAAAAAATATAAAGAACCTTTTATCATAATTTGTGCTTGCTGGATCTTATTTGGTATAATTTTCATCATGGCTAATTTTGTCTTTACGGGTCTCTTAGTAGGGCCTATAACTTCAATCTATTGGTTGCCGTGATCTTAATCAAAATATTATTTAGATGTAACAGTTCTGCATCAAGATGCACGTACACATAGCATTCCCTTGAGCACAACACTGTTTGATAAAGGAGGTATAGGATAATGCTGCTGAAAACTTCCCTTGAAAGATTTAAAGACATCACAAAGAAGTGCCTTTTCTGGTTTTTTTTTTTCTATTTAAAACTTTTTTCATAAAAATAAATATATGAGGACTAAGAGAATTTGAACGATACATGTACATTACTTTATACGGACTTTGACAACACTTTTTAAGTCAACTTCTTTTGCTATTTTTTTTCAAATGGTTCAGAGATATTAAACAATCCTCTCTTAACGCTTTGTTGGCATATCTCAGTGCTTTTTGTACACCAAATAAGCATGTGAAAAATATGAGGATGTGAAACAACGATAAAGAGGCAGGTGATAGTGACCAAATGTATAGGTGATTTTGCAACTGTGCTGATGACAAAACAAACACTCGATCACGTACGGTGACAAAATGATATATCGTGAAGCAAACAAAAAGAATACTACGTTTTGCTGAGTCATGCCGGATGTGTTTTATATTACAAATTGATTGTGCTCAAACAGGGAGATGGGAGGAAGTGACATGCTGCACGGCAAGTACTCAAAATACAGTAAAACAAGAGCATTTTCAACAACGCGTCAAGCAGGCCAATACCTGAATGCGTTCGTACGAAATTTGTTAAAGCTAGCCATGGTTATCAGTCCACCAGAGGAGACACTTAGTGAATAGAATATTTGAACCACTGCGTCGCTCCAGACCTGTTAAAACCAACATGTTAGTATCTTAACGCGTCTGATATACACTAATTAGAAACTGTCATTCGTTTCGCTTTTCTCGTCTTTTTCTTTCTTCCATTTCATATTCCCTATCAGTGTCGTCGATGGTGAAATTGCCTTTGTAAACAGAAAAAATGCTTTTGTTTGATCACATCTTTATGTCACACTATCTATACCCAAGTTTACCAGGAAATAATTTTGCGTACTTCACGGAAATATCACTTTTTTATTTGCGTTTGAATGGAACGGGCTAGAAAGTAGTCTGGTGTGTAAAGGGGATTGCACCTGAAACGTAATAAAATAGCAACTTCTTGCCAACTTCTCCATTGCCGTTTTTTCGCCATACCGTTTGTGTGTAGGCCAGTCAAAGAAACATGGCTGCCAGCTTTCTGCCGCAACTTGAATCATTTACCTGTAGCAGTTATTATGGAATTTCCCAAAACTAGCCATTACGATCAAACTTCCTGCACACACACCCAAAGAGTAGAATACTTGAACACATGCGTCGCTCCATACCTATTGTAAAGTCCAAATCTTCAAGTATTGAGGAAGATTAACCTTGACATGCCATCCTTGGGAGGAAAACCATGTGCAAGGTGCAGGAAAGCCAAGACGGCTTCATCAGCGACACGATACAGTTAAGTCAAAGTTTGTTCAAGCATAAACCAAGCATATATGTATCTTTTTGCTGGGTTACTTTTGGAAGACGCCTCTACACACATAATTTAGAACAAATCCATGCCATTTACTTTTTAGTATATACATATATAGACAGTTGAATATGGGACTAGGCATGCAGGCAAAACGTACATTGCTCAAGACATTTTGCTTATCAATTGTTTTTTTACTTTTAAATACTTAAAAATATACATTTGAAAAATAACCATCATACAATGTTTGGAACAGTAAACATAAATACAAGTTTTAAAAACTTTATCTTATCCATATTAGCTGATACACAAACGAAAGCATTACCTCAATGTCTGCAAGACGTGTAATATTAGGCGACATGTAATATCGAATGCCTTCAGCAGATCCCGGCAGCAAAGCGCCGTTTACAAGGAGAATGGTAAGGATGATGTAGGGAAAAATGGCGGTGAAATAGACAACCTAAAAACCAAATAAAGTTATCTGTTTGACCGAAAACGAAAAAGTTTGAAAGAAGTAAGTTTTCTTAAACATCCGTTAATCTTGGTACGCAACTTTTTGTGTTAATAATGAAAAGAAGGTTATTTAATGAATAAATATTACAAAAACATTCTATATATATATATGCTATTAATCTAGAAGGACACAGTGAGAAGATGTCAGGAAAATTCTGAGGGGGAAGTGGATGAGAGAGATTATTTTGTGAATGTTTTTAGTACAACCCAGTACGTGAAATGACTCACTTTCCCTAGGGACTGGATTCCCTTGATCAGGACCAGGAACACAATCAGCCAGGCCAGCAGAAGGCACAGGGAAAGGTCCCATTTGAGACCCCCTGAGTTGTCTATCCCATCAGTCATCTCCAGGACTTTACGGCTATAAGTAAACAACCATGTGCAAAGTATAGGGTATATGTGTAACAATCCAGTAGTGATTTTATATCTTTTTTGACCAGACTCTCAATTATAGAATTTTTATTTTGAGTAGATACTAAATGGTAAAAGATAAGATGCATCTTTTTTGGAAGACATAACAATAAGATGTTATCTTACTAGAAGTATTCCTCGCTGGGCGATATACGGGAACTGGTATTGGTAGCGTTCATAAGCATTGTCGTCATTGAAGAACTAGCAGTGGTGGTCACTGCAGAACTGACAGTTGTGGTCATATTGGTCGTGTTCGTCGAAACGCCTTGGCCAACTTAAAATTGGTTGAAATTTTTTTAAGATTTAAAAATAAAGATTAAGATAAGTACGAATATATTATCAAAGCAATGTATTACACCCTCGCAAACTTAATGAATGGGAACTTGAAAAACCCAATGTAACCATAATGCACATAATTTTAATTAAAAGGCCTGACATCATTTCATGGCTTTAAAATCTCTACTCTGACTCCCCCTTTTTTAATTTGTGTTCCAAAAAATCCATTGGCATGAGCTACAGAGCGGATCTCTTCCATGTCATTACCTTCTAAGCAATCTTTAGTGTTCCAAGGATTCCCACAAGAAGACCACGGCAAATTGGCCGTCATGGAGGCGAAGAAGTAGTAAATACAGTAGGCAATGATAACGTTGTAGTATAGACCCATGATTAGAGACACCATCACCATGGCATAGCCGAGACCTGAAGAAACGCAATGTTGGGTTTTAAAATCATTTTTAAAATAAAAATGACTAAAAGTGTACTACTTTTTTTTCACGAATGTACAGTACTCATCTTGCCAATACCCGTTCGCTTATTAACTCCTGTCTTTGTGATGTTGAGCAAAACAGAAATTGGTGAGAAAAAGCGGCATGAACATGAACATTTATTATCTTTATATTATTAATTATTGAATAATTACAGAACACAACGTGTGTGCGCGGGGGGGGGGGGCAAATCATACTTGGGCAAATAAACGAGATACTCCGCAGCTGAATATAGTTTAATAAAGATAACCTACCTTTAAACAGAGGACTAATTTTCCAAATAGTAATAGGCCCAAGACTGGCAAACTGGCCAAAACAAAGTTCCATGAAGAATAAGGGTAGACCCACAAATGCCAAGCTGATGCAGTATGGGAGAATAAAGGCTCCTGGAAATAGAAGGATACTGAGCAACAATATGTCACACGGCTGTCATTAATTCAATTCAGAGAGGTGTTTCTTCTTAACATCTACTCACAATACTTAATCACTGAATGTTAGAGATAGTTACAAAATTTCAACAGAGTAACGACAGCCCTTAAAGCATTTCAAGCTTAATTATCAAATAAGTTTGTTACCCGTATTGCGGTAGTTGCGATTCGAGTCCCAAATTCGCTTACCTCCACCGTTCCTGTAACATAGGTATGGAAAGCGCCATACATTTCCCAGACCTACGGCATAGCCGACACAGGTTAAAATAAACTCTATCTGGCCCCCCCAGTTACCGCGCTCATTCAATTCACTCGCCATAAGATCAGCTTGAGAGTCTAAGCGACCCATGTCGGCGTCAGCCGCGGCTTCCAATTCTTTGGAGACCGAGCTCACCGTGGTGGGTTTTCCCTGGAAAGAAATTTTGTTTTTACAACTATATTACAACTAGAGAAGTTGTCATAAATGGCCCAAACTCGCTTTGTTTCAATATATAGATATATATCTTAATGTAAACACTTTTGAAGTGGTATTACATGTATTGTTGGTTTCATCGTTTCTCAGATGAAGACATAAAAAAATCTCTTGCTTTCATCATACTACTCATATTGATCCGCTCCCTATCTGTCACAGTTTAGGTCAATGAATATGAGAACCATCACTCCCTCCACATGCCCTTTCAATACCGTAATCTTTATTCATGTAAGACATGACTTGAAGTGCACCGCAAACATGTGACGTTATATAGCCAAAGTACCATTTGAATCTGTCGACATTCTGAAGAGATGCATTTTGCATACAATACGCTGCTCGTCCCGTTCCAAACCGCAGCCGTGAGACCGAATTTATCAACACAGATACTACACAGTTGTCCGTCTGTCAGCACTTGTTGACTAGGGTGATAAGAACGCTCAAATTGCACGCAATAAAGTTGTCAGTTTATGGAGACTATTCACGGGACAATAGCATAAAAACTACTTTTTCAATCTATATGATTTTTTATCGACCGTTGACATTCAAAAATTAAGAGATGAAATGTCATGAAATACTACTTATGAAGGTTATATTCTCAATTACGCCAATTAAAGACTTACTCATAAAAAAGTAATGGAAAAAGAAAGAAAAAGGAAAGCCAAAGTTTTTTTTATTCGTGTGAGTGAACATATTGCTACTGAACTTCTGTTTTTCGTTTCAACTGCTTTTTCTTGGGGGGGGGGGGAGGGGGGGGGCAAGGATTCCGGATAAAGGGTTGGAAAACGTGGGAAAGATAAAAATAAAATAAATTAAATATATATGCTTGAAAGTTAAAATAAAAAATTTATATCAAGCACTTTTTAATTGTTATTTATAAGTGTGCCATGTCGTTTTCGTTTAATACGCAATCTATTTTACAGAATAAATGAGAGCAACACGCTTTTTTCATTTTCTCTTCTATTTTCATTACTGTGAAACACAGGTCACGGTGCTTGGATTTCTTCGAGTGTCCTTTCAATAAGCCATAAGTAGCCTCAATAAATAACTTCCTTGGGACAAGCTAATTCTAGCATGTAATAAATAGATAAGACGTTAGGACTTGTGTAAGAACGTGTGCAAAAGCAGAGATGATAAGCTTAATCCTGACTACTTAAATCAGTGTTTGAAAAGGTGGAAAAACTGACCATGCTATATTGACAAATTGACACGATGTCAAACAGTGTGTTCCATACTTTCGAGCTTAAGAGAGGGTTTGTGGATTTTCTACTGCCGCCAGTTACACGTAATTCCAGATATGCCTCTACACTTCACTGTACATGCCCCATTCTTGTAGCGATGCTTACTCAGTGTATTTACAATTTATACTTTTTGCAAAAAACAGAAAGTGTACCCAAAGACACTTGGAGTTAGTAAGTGTGTTTCCTTTGCCTTCTACCCCTTTACGTGCAGCTACATGTACGAAGTCACTTTTCCCATCTAAATAAAATGACGGCAACTCACCACGCAGATTCTTATGACCTTGTTTACCTCGATTTCCATCACCAAATCAGTTTTCGTACTGTAAGAATCAAATTACGCAATCACTCGGTGAAAAGTGATAAACTCATTTTCAGCCGAAGAAGCGTCAAAGCGTGCGCCGTGCGATTTGTCACAAATAGAAATTGTGCCATGAATTTCAGTGATAGGGCCAGGTTGATGGGATTTTATTTTTGCCGTGAGCGAGTAGAATGTGAGAATATTCTTAGCACAAAAGTTAATAAAATAAACGATTAATTTAGCGAACGCATCCATTAGACAAAACATGATGAATCTAACTACACCTGGTTCGTCGGAGGGTTTTATTAGTGCTAGAAAATATTACGCAATCACTCTGAAAGTAGTGATGAACTCAATCCCAACCAAAGAAGCGTCAATGGGTGCTTCATGTAAATTGTTCACCAAAAACAAATGCAAGGTTTAATTTCATTATGGGGTCTACAAGGGGAATCCCAAGCGGAAAGTATCTTGAGTAGTTAGGTGAGTCCTGACAATTTTGCCTTTCTTACACACAATATACTCATTTGATATCACCTTGATTTTCGTCGTCATACATGTAAAATGAAGCATAAGCTACTTAATGCCCCGATGTTAGTGTGCGTTTAGTGAGCCTTTCGATGCATCTATACGGTATATAAATTGAATGGTATATAAATTCCAAAATGAAATGTTTAAAGTATATATACATATTAATACTGTTCTTAGTGATTCCTTTACACCTGTTCCTCGAGTCACCTATGCCAAACCTTCAAGAGTCACACCCCTTTTGTTGAATAGAACCCATCGCCAATGGTAAAGAACAATGTGTCATTATTATTATTATAATGATAAGATAAGACTGGGTTCCCATAAACCTAGCGTACCAGCAGGATCGACATAACTCCGAGGGGATTCTTGGTAAATTGCATTCAGTTTAAGCGGTTTAAATGCCTGTCACGCCCATTGAAGCTGCTAAGAGGGTAATTACCTTTCGCGCATGCTTAAGCTGAATTCAATTTAGTGAAATACCCTCGGAGATGGATCGATCCTGCTAATACGATAGAGTTATGAGAATGATCCCTTCGTCACAAAGAGAAACTTTATCAACCAAGGATCCATTTGTAAGCACCCCATCAACATCTGTCAAACCCCCTGTCAGGGAAAAAGGAAAAGACAATAGGAAGAAAGTTCCGACAAAAAGGTCTCATCATGTCCTTCATTTAGCATAATAACCTGATATAAAATCATCCGTAACCATTCAAAGTGCGTAGTGAAAACAATGACAATATGTCCGTTGTCTTTGGATTCTGTTAACAGCTTTATGTAAAAACATCTTTGGAAATTGATATACTCGACTTGCACACGGAAAAAATAATTCTGATAAGACTTTTGAATTCTGCTTTATGTGGCATCACTAATATCAAAGGTTAAAGTAGAAAAGATTGAGAAAAAAGTCGAAAAAATGAAAAAGAACATAAAAATTGCAATTCAAAAACAATTTCACATTTAAGAGACGGATATAAAAAGGGTTAAACAAAAAAAAAAGGGAATGAAAAAGTCCAAATTCGAATGTGCAGTCAAATATTTAATGTTACTATTCTCAAGAAAATGTACAGGTTGAGTTTAGATACCAAGTCCCTAACTATTAATTTTATTCAGTAGATAATATCTAAATTTAAGCCAAACATATGCTACAATCTTTTGCAGTAACACAACTCACGCCTATGAACCTTTTTTTACCAATTCAGTTGTGACAAGATTTAGATTTATAATCGCTTGTGAAAAACGGCACTTACACAGCTCAATTTTCATGTGGCATCACAGATATCAAAGGTAAAGTTAAAGTAAGAAAAGTGACCAGACAACATAAAACAATGTAATTCAAAATCTATTTCACGTTGAAGAGAGGGTTGAACCTAGGGTTGAACAAAAAATTGCTTAATCTTGTCGCGCAAAGGAATGAAAAAATCCTCAAATTGTTCAGCAGAAAAAATCAAAATTTTACACAATACTTTTGTGCTTTTCTTTAAAGTTGGAATCTCAATTGCTTTAACATTGCGTTGATACCTTTAAAAGTTTGGGAAACCTAACCTCAGTGTCAGCCAAGTCACCGACCCCGTATAAATGCCACGATAAAGAACTCATTAAAAAGCAGCCGCAAACAAAAACGTGGCGTAAAAAATGAAAAGACAAACCTTCTTATCATTATTTCAAGAACACATATACCCTAATTTCGAAATAAGAAAAGGAGAAAAGAAGATACAAGTACTCACGTTTTCTGCCTCCATCTTTCCAGGTCGGGTTTCTCATGTGACGTGCGGTAGACGAGCAGCTTTACGTATCTGCAATGTCGCAACGCCAAATAAACAACTCTGGTTGGTTATCTTAGACTATTAAAGCAGTCAAGTCTATCTGGCCAGCCGCACACCCCTTCCCTAAAGTAATCAAAATCTTAAGATAAACCCTGATATCAATCTGAAAACTTGGCGGCACGACAGAAAAACCTATTGATCGGTACCTCTGGATCCTGTGCTTGAAGTTCTACCTATGTCTACCCCAGTGTGATTGGGTAACATTTATACACACGCATATGCAGACCAGTGTCTCGACTGGTCTTTGGTCGCTCTCAGGCCGCATTCACAACAGCTGATTTACTAGTCCGTGGATCAAATATGGCCCACCCACTTGAATGCTTGTTGCGTAATTTCCCGCGAGAAATCGATTCAGTGTCTATTATGGCTTGGTCAAAGCATCAACCTTCACTTGATTGCAATCACCTAAAGTGATCAAGACCACCGACATCCATAATGATACGTGTGAACTTGGCCCTGTTCAGCAACTCGCTGAATATGTAGATATTTTATTAAGAATACACTTTGAATCGCGATACACGTCTCTTACGCAGTGGCATCTCATAACAGCTATGTTAATTTCTATTGTTTTAACTGCAAGCGTGCCAGAATGCATCTTCTGATTGGAGTGCTTGGACAATTAATGGCTCAGCTTTGGAGGAATGTTGGTGGCCCCTTCCCGTTGAATGATAGAAGCAACGTCATATGACGAATTAAATACTTTATATAAGGGAAACTGGACCAAACCTATCCGAGTTTACTATGAGATAGAGAGGTGGACATCAACTCATTTTACATCTTCGCGCAAATGAAGAATATTGAAATGATTACTTTTGTATTTTTACTGATAACAACAGGAAAGTAGTTTTCAAAATTTAAATGTCAAAAAAAAAAGTCTCAATTAGAAAGAAAATTATGGACACAGTACAGATGTTGGGAATCTGCATATCTGAGAGGAAGAAAGGCAGAAGCACAGAGAATCTAAACGCTATCCAAAACAGACTCTTACCATCTATTTCTTATCAGCTGTTTAAACATTAAGCAAAACTGTAGGCCTATACGTAATAGTTCAATGAAGCATGGAAGTATAACAGTAATACTTCCATGATTGAAGAAAGTTATTCTGAATAAGGGCCATTGGATTTCTTCAAAAAATTATGATCATTATCATCGTCATCATAGTTTTAGCCATCACCCTGGGCGTTATCTAGATGACTGATCCTTCTGCCAGTGCCTTCGCAACATAAGTGGACAGGGACTCTTCAAATTCCGGACAACCTCTAGGTCAAGCCGCCTCCTAGTTACGACAGTATTAGTAGATTTGTTACCTGTATATCTACTGGTCAGTAAATTGTGTAATCCCAAAAGTAAACAATGGGTCGGGCCCTCTTGTAAGGTTCTGGGGACGAATCTATTCGAGGGATAATAATAATAATAATAATAATAATAATAATAATAAAAGTAACATTTATTTCCTACCAAAAGTTGGAGGGTACATACACAATACTAATCAGTTTATTGTAAGAAAGACGTATTGGATATTAAAATATTCTCTAGAATACAGTCTTTTGTTTTAAGGGGTATCCTTTAAGACGACCTGTAATTTTTTTTTAATAAAGCAATATGTCTCNAAAAAGACGTATTTTCTAATATATTTCACTCTCTTGACATGGGAAAACAGTGGATGTTTCTATTTTCTATCACGTTTGGAAATCTGTCGTTTTTTGTTTTTTTTTTATGTCATAAAAAAGCGGAAAAAACGAAAAATAATCTCGTTTTTCCATTTTTCATTTTAAAAGGAAAAACGAAAATCAAGGTTGATTTTCCATTTCATTTTGACAATTTATCAAATGAAAAGGAAAAACGGCCGTTTTTTCATTTTCTGACGAAATGGAAATCACTTTGCCCCCCCATACACCGACCTATCTTGAGTAGTTAGGTGAGTCCTGACAATTTTGCCTTTCTTACACAAAATATACTCATTTGATATCACCTTGATTTTCGTCGTCATACATGTAAAATGTAGCATAAGCTACTGAATGCCCCGATGTTAGTGTGCGTTTAGTGAGCCTTTCGATGCATCTATACGGTATATAAATTGAATGGTATATAAATTCCAAAATGAAATGTTTAAAGTATATATACATATTAATACTGTTCTTAGTGACTCCTTTACACCTGTTTCTCTCGAGTCACCTATGCCAAACCTTCTAGAGCCACACCCCTTTTGTTGAATAGAACCCATCGCCAATGGTAAAGAACAATGTGTCATTATTATTATAATGATAAGATAAGACTGGGTTCCCATAAACCTAGCGTACCAGCAGGATCGACACAACTCCGAGGGAATTCTTGGTAAATTGCATTCAGTTTAAGCGGTTTAAATGTCTGTCACGCCCATTGAAGCTGCTAAGAGGGTAATTACCTTTCGCGCATGCTTAAGCTGAATTCAATTTAGTGAAATATCCTCGATCCTGTTAATACGATAGAGTTATGGGAATGATCCCTAAGTCACAGAGAGAAACTTTATCAACCAAGGATCCGTTTGTAAGCACCCCATCAACATATGTCAAACCCCCTGTCAGGGGAAAAAGGAAAAGACAATAGGAAGAAAGTTCCGACAAAAAGGTCTCATCATGTCCTTCATTTAGCATAATAACCTGATATAAAATCATCCGTAACCATTCAAAGTGCTTAGTGAAAACAATGACAATATGTCCGTTGTCTTTGGATTCTGATGACAGCTTTATGTAGAAACATCTTTGGAAATTGATATACTCGACTTGCACACGGAAAAAATAATTCTGATAAGACTTTTGAATTCTGCTTTATGTGGAATCACAAATATCATTGGTAAGGTTAAAGTAGAAAAGATTAAGAAAAAAGTCGAAAAGGTGAAACAGAACATAAAAATCGCAATCCAAAATCAATTTCACATTTAAGAGACAGGTATAAAAAAGGGTTAAACAATTGAAAAAATCCAAATTCGAATGTGCAGTCTGTGGTCTATGGTCAAATTTTTGATGTTACTATTTCAAGAAAATGTTCAGGTTGAGTTTAGATACCAAGTCCCTAACTATCAATTTTATTCAGTAGATAATATCTAAATTTAACCCAAACATATGCTACAATCTATTGCACTCAAGCAACTCACGCCTATGAACATTTTTTTTTACCAATTCGGTTGTGAATAGAAAGGCTTCAAGATTTAGATTTATAATAGCTTGTGAAAAACGGCACTTACACAGCTCAATTTTCATGTGGCATCACAGATATCAAAGGTAAAGTTAAAGTAAGAAAAGTGACCAGACAACATTAAACAATGTAATTCAAAAACTATTTCACGTTGAAGAGAGGGATATAAAAATAGGGTTGAACAAAAAATTGCTTAATCTTGTCGCGCAAAGGAATGAAAAAAATCCTCAGATTGAGTTTAGGTGCCATGCCAAGTCCATTACTATCAAATTGTTCGGCAGAAAAAATCAAATTTTTACACAGTACTTTTGTGCTTTTCTTTAAAGTTGGAATCTCAATTGCTTTAACATTGCGTTGATGCCTTTAAAAGTTTGGGAAACCTAACCTCAGTGTCAGCCAAGTCACCGACCCCGTATAAATGCCACGATAAAGAACACATTAAAAAGCAGCCGCAAACAAAAACGTGACGTAAAAAATGAAAAGACAAACCTTCTTATCATTATTGCATGAACACATATACCCTACTTTCGAAATAAAAAAAGAAGAAAAGAAGATACCAGTACTCACATTTTCTGCCTGCATCTTTCCAGGTCGGGTTTCTCATGTGACGTGCGGTAGACGAGCAGCTTTACGTATCTGCAATGTCGCAACGCCAAATAAACAACTCTGGTTGGTTATCTTAGACTATTAAAGCAGTCAAGTCTATCTGGCCGGCCGCACACCCCTTCCCTAAAGTAATCAAAATCTTAAGATAAACCCTGATATCAATCTGAAAACTTGGCGGCACGACAGAAAAACCTATTGATCGGTGCCTCTGGATCCTGTGATTGAAGTTCTACCTATGTCTACCCCAGTGTGATTGTGTAACATTTATACACACGCATATGCAGACCAGTGTCTCGACTGGTCTTTGGTCGCTCTCAGGCCGCATTCACAACAGCGGATTTACTAGTCCGCGGATCAAATATAGCCCACCCACTTGAATGCTTGTTGCGTAATTTCCCGCGAGAAATCGATTCAGTGTCTATTATGGCTTGGTCAAGACATCAACCTTCACTTGATTGCAATCACCTAAAGTGATCAAGACCACCGACATCTATAATGATACGTGTGAACTTGGCCCTGTTCAGCAACTCGCTGAATATGTAGATATTTTATTAAGAATACACTTTGAATCGCGATACACGTCTCTTACGCAGTGGCATCTCATAACAGCTATGTTAATTTCTATTGTTTTAACTGCAAACGTGTCAGAATGCATCAGAGTGCTTGGACAATGGCTCAGCTTTGGAGGAATGTTGGTGGCCCATTCCCGTTGAATGATAGAAGCAATGTCATATGACGAATTAAATACTTTATACAATGGAAACTGGACCGAACCTATCTAATCCGTGTTTACTATGAGATAGAGAGGTGGACATCAACTCATTTTATACTGAAATGAAGAATATTGAAATGATTACTTTTGTATTTTTACTGATAACAACAGGAAAGTAGTTTTCAAAATTTAAATGTAAAAAAAAAAGTCTCAATTAGAAAGAAAATTATGGACACAGTACAGATGCTGGGAATCTGCATATCTGAGAGGAAGAAAGGCAGAAGCACAGAGAATCTAAACGCTATCCAAAACAGACTCTTACCATCTATTTCTTATCAGCTGTTTAAACATTAAGCAAAACTGTAGGCCTGTACGTTCAATGAAGCATGGAAGTATAACAGCTATACTTTCATGATTGAAGAAAGTTATTCTGAATAAGGGCCATTAGATTTCATCAAAATATTATGATCATTATCACCGTCATCATAGTTTTAGCCATCACCCTGGACGTTATCTAGTAGATGACTGATCCCCCTGCCTGTGCCTTCGCAACATAAGTGGACAGGGACTCTTCAAATTCCGGACAACCTCTAGGTCAAGCCGCCTCCTAGTTACGGCAGTATTAGAAGCTTTGTTACCTGTATCTACTGGTCAGTAAATTGTATAATCCCAAAAGTAAACAATGTGTCGGGCCCTCTTGTAAGGTTCTGGGGACGAATCTATTAGAGGGATAATAATAATAATAATAATAATAATAATAATAATAATAATAATAATAATAATAATAATAATAATAATAAAAGTAACATTTATTTCCTACCAAAAGTTGGAGGGTACATACACAATACTAATCAGTTTATTGTAAGAAAGACGTATTGGATATTAAAATATTCTCTAGAATACATTGTCTTTTGTTTTAAGGGGTATCCTTTAAGACGACCTGTAATTTTTTTTAAATAAAGCAATATGTCACATTTTATGCGATACTTGATATTTAATGCAAAGTTTAAATGTGCCACATTTTACGACAAGCGCAGATCCTTTTCACACATCAGGAAGTAATTAAGAACTATTTTATCAATTTCTGGATTTTGCAAGTTATTCTAGAAACTAGGGTACCACTGAGTTGTGTTATGAAAATAATAATAATAAAAAAAAAACTGCCAACTTTTTATGGGATGAGAGAGCCGACTTTTACAAACAATTTTAACAATTTTACTTTTATAGATATCTCAAGATTCATTGTAGTCATATATTTCAAACACTATCGCTAAGCAGATTTTTTCAAATTTTTTTCTTAATTGTTAAAAGGTAATTATGTCTTGAAAAATTCTGTACATAGATTCTTTGTAAGACGAGGGCCAGTGCCAGGTGGTCATTCATTATGTTAAAATTCTCGCCACGTCACTTTCTTCCGAAAGGTGGACCTTTCTGTGAAATTTTATTGCACGACAAGACGAACTCTCTTTAAAAATTGTCGCACGGGGATTTTTATTCATTTACCTCGATTTCGACCCTTTAAAGAAAAAAATCGGCAGTCAACAAAAATGAAATGTCGTGGAATTTCCATTTCACTTACATAATCTTATAAAAGAAAAACAAATGTCGACGGCGGAATAAAACGAGGTTCAAAAACAGTGGCCTTAATACGTTTTAAACATATTTTCTTGTTTATAGCATCCCTTTAGTTTTTATTTACTTGGTCACAATTTTGCTGGCCCACTTTTCTCCAACCCCACCCTCCCAATCTTTCGTTGCTCCAACCCACAGTATAATCGGTTTTCATACCGTGCCGTCAAATCTTATCAGCCAGTGAAACAAGGTCAGTAATTTTCCATCCTCCGTCAAGCAACTACGGCGATCACTAAACCCCCTCACGATTTGTCTGTGAATTCAGTGGTGTTAATTTCTCTGCATAGTTTGGTATCTTAGTAATAAGCTGCGACAGGTCAGATGTAATAGTACTTTATCTTCAGGGACGGATAGTAACTTCCTAAGTTAACTTCCCAAGTTCCGTTCCCTCAGCGTTACGTTGTCTGAACTCGCTGGCAATACAATGACATTCAGGCAGTAACGTTTTTCCATGCGGGTTCTAAAACATGCTTGTACATAAAAATTTTATTTACAAGTACCTTTTTGCGAGTGACACATTTATAAGTGCCAATCCCACCTTTGAAACGAAAATGGAAAGTTTGGATGCGTCATCAATTAGTACTTTGACTGGTGACGCCGTTAAAAATCCGGTTAGTACCGGTACATGTATCTTCCAGATCTGCATTTTTTTCGGCAATGCTTTTATTTGCTTCTAGCTTGATTGCAAGGGTGTGCTTAGAAATCACTGCATTCTTTCTTAAAGGTTTTTGCGAGGGACCAAATGTGACATTTGTGTAACGAGTTGAAACGTACAACGTAAAAAAAAAATTAATAATAATAATAATAATAATAATAATAATAATAATAATAATCCAAACATAGGATAAAAGGCACACAAAAACATACATTTTAATCTTTTCAAAATTAAACAACAAAAACCACCACATATAATCTATACCAAAGTGTTTGCTCATTGGTGTATTACCTCTGCAGGGGGGGTATATATAGGGGTGCACAAAAATTCATCAACAGAATTATAAGATATATAGAATGTGAGTTCTTCTTTCAAATCATGTAATCCCTTCAATGTAACCACTGTTTGAAGCTCCACCAAACACAGTCAAAAATGCAGTTTTAAAAGGTAGTAATGCAGCTCCAAGTGCCATAGCCTAAATGCACGTGCCTACTCCAACAGCATATATTCTGAACTCAGCTCATTCTGAGACAAGTTTAGTTATTGTATATTTTTTTAAACCACAGTAGGAGCTATAAATCAAACAATATAATAAGTTCCTTTGTATGACCTTTTTATTAGATAAATTGATATTTTGTAGAATTTAGAGGCTAAGAAATGCCAGAGGTCGTCTTATTGACGTGCTCCTCATATCATATCATATATGTTTTATTCCCGTGCTCAATAGGAGCAGAAAACAATCATAACATCCAGAGTCTTTTATTATCTTCTCTATTTTATGCAGAGCTCTGTGACTCAGACTTTACCCATTTGCTGTGGCACAGTAGGAAACTTGGAGTCTGTTAAAACATAGCACAATGAAGTAGCACAGCCCGAGACCTCTATCACAATTTTGATTGAATTCAAAGACTGAAGATAGTGACAAGTGTACTTTTAGCTACTAATGTGAAATTCTTCACTCATTCTACACTCTTCGTAGATTAAATTAAACACACACACACACACAGTTTGGCTCCATTCAATTGAAACCCTATCCTTTCTTTGTCATTATTGTACTGAAAATGTAAAGAATCGCATCTCTTTAAGAAGTCCAAAGGTTGCCAGCAAGTATTATGGTTGTTTTTATTGATTATCACCACTATCCTTGCCGTTTCAGATCCAACTACTTCTGATAATCATACCAAAATCTGTAATACTCTATAAATTTGTTAGGTGGCCTGGAGAAATATTCCTTGGCTTTCACATGGTTTACTCTGTCCAATTTCCAGTAGCAGTCAAGGTATCTCCCAAACCTCCTGGTAAACCTGGAAGGTGGAGATAAAGTTCAAGTAAATAAGTTTTTTTTTCTTAAGGCAACTACCAACATAAAAAATTCATAATGCAATAATAATTCAGTAAAAAAATATTGAAACAAAAAGGTGAGTTTATAAAGCACCTCATTCCATCATTCTGTCAACTTGTAAAAACAGGAGTAGGCATGTATATATAGCAAAGTGTTTTACTCTGACTGACCATCAAATAACATCTGTTTATTTCATAGCATTAACAAATAATGAGAAATTCATTATGTTACTTGTTACTTTATGCATTGATACATTCATATAATTTATTTTGCATATGGTTGATATGCACAACAGAAATCTAGACCAAAAATGTCAAAATAAACTTACATTGAATATTTTTTAAAAGTTGATCACTAAATACATACACACACACACACACACCTTAAATCATACCTGTAATTGCATATATAATAATTGTCCATATTTCCAAACACTCTAGCTTCGGCCTCCTTCAGTTCTTCATATTCTTCACTTCGATGGTAATCCCACTTTAAATTCTGAGGATTTTGAGGATCAGGCTTTTGCCTCAACTTGTAATTTAGAGAGTTCATATCAAAACTCTCCTTTATATTGCGGAGGATGTGTCCATCATGTAGCCCCCTAGCACTTAGAGTTATTTCAGTTGTAAATTCTCCCGGCTCACCTGGAAATGATGAACAACACACGTGTCATGTAGTGATAACATTCATCAAGTATCTTAAACAGGGTCTTTCTTACATGTACAAAAAATTATTGTCTTATATTTTCCATGTTACAAGTGATTATTCGTTGCACGAGTTCATTCATAGCAATCTGCTTACTGTGATTGACTAACAAAATCTTGTAGTGTGAGTACATTGGCCTAGAATGTCTTCCTTACTACAGACAAGGCAAGTTATATATTAGTTTGTTTTAATGGATTTTTTTATCAACTTAAAATTATGCTCTCATGCTTCATGTCTTCAGATAACTGATAGATCCCCACATCATTCAGTATGTATCAATGTACCTCAAAAAACATACCAAACTTTTGTACAACTGCTCCTTGCTAGTAGTAAAAGAGATTGCCAATGATAACTTTTGTGTAATATTATTAATATAACATTGTTTTGTTGTTTAAACTCAAAATAGCCAAATTTATATGGCAAATGTTTATTGCGCAAAGAATCACAATTTTATCTTTTTGCTTGTGACATAGCCAAACAAACTTACAGGTTATTATATAAATGTACTTTTCAATCTAAATCATGTAACTTGCAAAATGAGGCCTGCAAAATGAGGCCAATTTTGCTGCAGATTTCAGTAGGTCTATACTTAATTAACAAAGAAGCTGCCGAAAACTGCTTTCGTCTCTAAAGTAGACTATGAGCTCATTCCCATTGAAACTATCAGTCTAGTAAATCGATCCAACTCTGCAGGGATTCTTGCAGAATGCAATCAGTTTGACAGATTTAAACGCCTCCTGATGTTGAGTAGAATACAAAAAAAGCTGATGATCATATGCGTATGTTGGAAACGAGAGAAGGCGAGTAATCTGTTAAATTGAGCGTGTTCAGTGAGAATCCCTGTGGGGTTAGATCAATCTACCTCCATATGTAGACCGATAATTTCAAGGGGAAAAATCCTAAAATTCTGAAGTTGAGTGTGCATTGTCAGGGGCGGATACAGAGATATTTTCTGATAGTCCTCCAAATTTTCTTTGTTGATCCATCCACCATTTTTGACCGTCTTCTGACAGAAAAAATTAGATACTCGTCAATGTAAACTTGAAAATCCGGACGACCCCGAAGATGGCCTAAATCCGCCCCTGATTGTTTTACGTCATATAAGATGTCCTAACACTGTGGTGAACTGATGCATCCTTACCATACTCTAGAAAAGGTGACCTAAATTTCACTTCATACATGAAGTTGCCATAAAAATCCTTTACGTCTCGAACTGGTAAATATTCTCTCTGTTCATCATCTAACTGTTCCCAGTTTTTCATGATTTCTTCTAATGCCTGCAGAGAAATTTGATATTCAGTAATTATTGGATATGATTCCAGTCAAGAGACCTTCAGTTAAGTTAAACATATATATATATATATATGTAGTATACTGTAAAACTTCAAATGTAACCACAAGACTTGGAAATATGAATATAAAAATCATTCATGAAGGAACTTATCATGGAGATGTTGCACATGTATTCTGTATGGTTAACATCTGGTCCGTATACCCAGTACTGTTATTTTATTTAAGAACATACTGATCAATTTTTATTATTTTTAATCCTTCATTCTTTTGGCTTATTTTTGTGTAATTCTGATTTATATATTTATTTATTCATCATTGCTATTGTCATCACTGTGTTACTCCTTGGGGTAGCTGCTTTTTCAAATGGAGAAATTCTGGCATGTCATTTGGGGTCAAAAGCATTTTGGGACACAGTGTAAAACTCAGAGAAATAAACATACATTTTTAAATTACTAATAATACCTATGAGCGCATTCTCAACGAATTAAGCCAGGCTTTACAAAGCCGGTGACCTAAAAATGGGCGGTTTTAAAAGATTAGGCGGTTTTTCTTTCATGTACGTCCGCCATTTTTAGGTCATCGGCTTTGTAAAGCCTGGCTTAATTGGTTGAGAATGCGCTCTATGTCTTTAATTGCATTAAACATATACCATTTTTCAGCCGTATTTACCACCAGGCAAGAAGCAGACAGGCAACATTATTTTAATACCAAACTTATTAAACAATATGTATTAGTACCCACTGACCTCTGGTACAATGAAATCTTCCAAGCTTTCAAAGTCCCCAACAGATATCTCATAGGATACTGATTGGATTGCCTGTAGTACAAAAGATAATAAATAATCAAGACACTACAAATATTAAAGGCATAAAAAATTGGTCTTTCTTGTCAAGAACAGCTGGAAAAATAAGAGGTGCAATATACATATATATATATATATATAAAATATTTCAGCACAATAACAACACACATTCCATTGCAGATTACTTTATGTCGGGTTAACTATGAAAAAAAAATGTAGAATCATCCATGTGGGGCCATGAATTGATGTAATTTTAATTTTTTTTAAATACACAGAAAGATATGGCAGTCTAAATGAATAAATCATTAAAAAATGGTATAAAACAATTAATCCAGGAATGGTTTGAGCAATGATTTACAAGTAGGGTAATATGGATTTTCTCTTGAGCAAAACACAATTAGAGGGAAATCTTTTACAGGCTTCATTTAAAATGCTTCAAGACGTTGCAAAATGAAATTTACCTCATAACAGTCCGCGAACTGTAATTCTTACGTATGTTTATTGACATTTCATATAAATCAATGTACTCAATTTGTTCCAATTTCAAATGAATACTTACGTCATGAGCAAATTCAAAAAACCACCTAGGAGATAGTTTAACATCATAATCTTGCATTCTGTGGTATCTAAATTTCCCGACCAGTAACTTAGGTATGTTCCTTTTCACTTGCATCGGAAAATCCATCAACTGTAACTTCCTGGACCCCGTCTTTCCACTTGTGCTATAAGTTTTCATCTGCCATGGTAATGCAGTCCTTCTTGCACATATATTCTTTTCTCCAACATTTACCCATGCAGAATGGTAATTTTTCAACCCTGATATATTGATCTTGTGTATTGCCTTTTGAAAAGCACAAGCATTCTTAGGGTGGATATTACTTCTAAGGATTGTGCCAAGGAAATGTGGTTTTGTTGATGAGAATACAACTGAAAGTCCATGGCTATTCATTTTTTTGGTCAACTGTGGGGTTTAGGTTAAGTTCCATATCTGAAAAAAAAAAAAATTTAATGCATGTTCATATTAAACAATGTTTAAGACAATTGCAAAAATTGGAACTTAAAAGTTAATAAGAGCAATGAAAGCACTCACTGAATACAGGGGTCAATTAGATGGGATTGCAGAGGAAGTTGTTATAAAATAACTGGCCCAGGGTACTAGTTCATGAAGTTCATAGGGTGAGACACCAATGCCCTTTGAACAAATATCAAAATTTGATTGAAATTATCCATATGCTACCCCATAACGGTATCATATCTAAATCCATTTAATACCATTTTTACAAAAACAAGTCTTGAAATAAAAACAAATAAACATGTCCTCAAAGTACAAAGCCATCAGACTGTGGAAACCTCCTCCAATTCTATATCCCTGTATGTAATCATATTAAATCAACACGTTATCTTTTAATTTGCTTCTGTATGTGTCGGGGACTGGGTTTTGTGCCTTCTCAGTTTCATCAGAGAAGTCTTCATCCTGACATAGGCATACTATCAGAAATTATTCTTGGATCTACAAAACTGTCCTCATTGAAGTTTGTCAGTAAGATTAATATCTACATATTAAACATCAGAGACTGAATTTTAACATTACTTTAAGGATATTGTCAGCCCTTGCCCCAAACTCCTTATTTACTGCCTTGCATACATCCTTTTAGGTAAAAGATAAATCTTCAGTGCTCAGTGACTAAATTAACTAACATTTACACATACTGTATGTCATCTTCTGGATGATGTCATAATTGCAATTTTGTGGCAAAAACTGAAAACCAGTTTTTCAAATTTCTCTTTTACCTGAGCACCCATGATCACGGTTTCAATACGGATTGAATGACACCATTTAGTACTCCCAAACCCTGCCAGCAATTCTTCTTAAATGTCTTCGTTCAGATTTTATTGTTGATAAAGCAAAATAATGCCTTTGTTTAATGGAAATCTGGGCTCATAATTCCATAACAAACACATTTAAACCAAATTGACAACACGAGATTGTAGTCTATACACTCGTTATCAACTCTGCCAAATTTTGTGATACAATCTTGTTCAGGGATGAAGTTACATCCCATACTGTACCAACTACTATCTTACCTCAAAATAAAAAGGTGTTAAATTGACGATTAAAGCTTTAAGTTACCTATACTTATACATTGCAGCAATGAAATATAAATGCCAATAATTAATATTTTCCAGTTTCTTTTTATTGTTTTAAGTCAGCACAAAGATAGATGCATTATTGAATAATTAAATGGATGAAAAAACTCATTTTTGGTATCTGGATGATAATGAAAGGTTACAATAACCTTAGGTTGGATTGAATAATTAAATACTTTCATGTTGAAATACTTTCATGTTGAAATATCTAAAAAATAATGTACTGTTATTCTTTAGTAAAAATCCCATATCGTGCAATCATATTTTGTAAACACCTTATCATTTAAGTTACTTCTGTCTTGAATAAATATTTATCCTTCTCAGCACAAAGATAGATGCATTATTGAATAATTAAATGGATGAAAAAACTCATTTTTGGTATCTGGATGATAATGAAAGGTTACAATAACCTTAGGTTGGATTGAATAATTAAATACTTTCATGTTGAAATAATGTTTATCTAAAAAATAATGTACTGTTATTCTTTAGTAAAAATCCCATATCGTGCAATCATATTTTGTAAACACCTTATCATTTAAGTTACTTCTGTCTTGAATAAATATTTATCCTTCTCAGCACAAAGATAGATGCATTATTGAATAATTAAATGGATGAAAAAACTCATTTTTGGTATCTGGATGATAATGAAAGGTTACAATAACCTTAGGTTGGATTGAATAATTAAATACTTTCATGTTGAAATACTTTCATGTTGAAATATCTAAAAAATAATGTACTGTTATTCTTTAGTAAAAATCCCATATCGTGCAATCATATTTTGTAAACACCTTATCATTTAAGTTACTTCTGTCTTGGATAAATATTTATCCTTCTCGGTGAAAGTATGTGTATGCCTGCTACTGATGCATACCTTAAATCTACCGGTTAATATTGCACAGCAATTGCTATGTCCTAAAAAAAAAAAAAAAAAAGTTGAAGCCAGAGTGGCAGTCATACTGATTCCATTTCTAATGTAATGTGAAATTTCCAAAGAATTCTACATTTGATTTGCTTCTCTGTGCACGCAAAGTGAAAGACTGGGTCGTATCTGGGGCCATATTGGAGCCCTTAATTATTTATTTCGGCGATGAAAATTAATACACTGGGGATTCAATTATTAATTTAAGTGAAAGTCAATTCGGGCGGTTTACTACGTACAAGACGTACGTGTAACCCCCCTCCCCCCCCCCCTCCCACACCACACACACACACACCACACACAGACCCACAATGGATTTTTATCTCTTTTTTCTAAATTAGATTACGTTGTGGCTTCGATCAAAGTCTCTGCAATTAAAATCAATTAGTTTGCCAGTTAACTTACAGAGTTTAACAAAAAGCCTGATTTTGTCAAGGGAAGCGGTGCGATCTCGTTCCAGTGGAAAAGTCATTAAAAAACAAGCCTCCTTCTATTAAAGATTTACTTCCTGTTGAAGCAGACTATGGGTGTTTGCTGCACTAATCAAACGGTAAAATTGAAATCCCCACAAGTAATAGTTTTTATTAAATCTGCGACGCTTAAATTTGATTGGGATTTAAAGTAAATATCAAAGTTGTGGATTCCATATGTGGATCATGTGCGGGTCAGCTGATTTAACAGTTAGAGACTACTGATAGTAGAGAGATATTTTTTAATGGGGAGCGTCTCGCTTGTCCGAAGGGTCATTGATCCGAAAAATGGTAACATTTTCATCGTTTTTTTTAAATCAAGGGTTCATTGGTCCGAAGGTTCTATAGAGAACATTCAGACCAATGAACCTTCGGACTATTGCTACGACCACTTAAAATGAACCTGGGGGCGTTTTTATAGATACTCCTAAGAGGGTAACTTATGGTGTAACATGAATTGCTACACGAAAACTGGGTGGTTCCTTCTCAGTATCCCAGAGAATTACGTGTTTTAGTCACAAGGTAAATTTCAAACTTAAATTAAAGAAGGAAGATCAATATTTATAGTTAATAGATCGATTAATTTGTACTCTGTATTGTAGTTTTACGTACATACTGTAAGCTAGAGCAGTACACGTACATACTGTAAGCTAGAGCAGTACGTGTACATGTGGTATTTGCACTGTGTTTCCTTAGAAAATAATGGTTTCATTTTATTCTTATTCCCCCAGATACCCAGAACATGAAACAGAAATGGCTGAGAAAGAAGCAGTGCAGAGTGATCAACAAACTCTAGGGGATGGTGATATCGAGGACTTATGTGTGGCTGTCAGTGATTTTGCAGGTCTTTCTGATAATGAAGTATGTTTGGCCAGACATAATTGTTAAGATGATTGACCGACAAGAACATCCCTTATTTTGAGAAAATTAGAATTTTTGTTAAACTTCTTTGTTATTAATTTAGCATTTATTTTTCCTAAGTTTTTTAAAAAAAGTTTTTTTATATTGTTTCAGGAGTTTGTAGTCTTTGCATATATGCTTAGCAACTGTGCAGCAATGCACATATTAAATTTTTTTCAGGATTTGCTCATAAAAGTTGTGCTTAAAGACCTTCTTTCTAGTAACTAAAAGAACAGAGATATTACAGGTTTCATAAATAATGTATCATAAAATTCATGCAAGTAGTCAGTCATCCCGAGTTTTTTTTCTCAGAAAATTATTTCTGGGTCAACTGCACCAGTCCTATGATAAAGTGATGAATCACATCCTTGTTCAGAAAATGTTTTTAGGTGAATATGTAAGTGCCTTTGGTGGCCAGCTTGTACTAGTGCCTGGGCAGCAGACTTTTTCAGAACCTACCAGTTATTATTCTTTTCTTCTTAGTATTATTTATTTATTCATTTATTTGTTTGTTTTATGTTTTATTTTCTTTTTTACAGTTGCAGTTCTCTAGAGGAGACAAGATCGAGGTTCTCCAAAAGACCTCAGAGCACTGGTGGTGGTCAAGACTTAATGGTCACTTTGGATATGTGCCCACCAATCATGTGGTCAGCTTCTCCGACTCCTCCTTTAAGCAGATTTCATGGCAGGATTGTGATTATTTTGAAAATTATGGCACTTTGGTGAGGAGAGGTTGATGTTTGAAATTTTGATTTTGAACGAAAGTTCAACTAATTATAAATTTCTCTGCATTAAAGTTACATATGAAGTCAAATCTTTGCCACTAAACCCAACCAAATGCCAACATATAATCTAATAGCATAAATTTAAGATATAACAAAGGATATCGTTTCACCAAAAAATTATATTTGAACAGATGTTTTCTGCTTTCTTTTTGTGCTATATATAATACTCAGTCAATTTTGGGAACCCACATTTGATTATTTTAATTTGCTATTATGTTCTCAGCAATTATATATCATAGAGCACTATTTGACAGGCTTTTACCAACTGGAGAGACAGATAAGTAGGTCAAGTTTACGACCATAAATTTGGACAGTCAAGTTTTAAGGCTTTTTTTTTTTTTGCAGATCAAGTGATTTATTTGGTTTATCTTGTAGCTTATCAGCTTAATTTGCTTTGTATAAGAAACTAGTAGTAGTGATTTATATGCGCTACAAGGAATCTACGCTGGCTTCATATGTAACTTTAATAAACTGTCTAACAAACTTTTAATGGAGTTCATCACAATAATTAAGTGATGCTCTTTTTGCATATAAACCAATAACATATTTCCTGTAGTGAAATTTTAGTTGTAGATTATATTGGCAAGTCATAGAATTTTGTCTACCAATTCTAAAAGCTTGAAATGAATAGAACCCTTAATACAAAAAATACAAACATTTGAAGACAGTGATAGGATCTGATTCATTAAAATGTAAGTGGCAACCTCTATTATTGTTCTCGTCTATTTTGTCAGAAACTTCATCTTGAAATGCTTAGTGACAAACCCAGAACAGAGGCTTACAAAAAGGCATTCGAGGTATATTGCAGGCATACCAAAGACAAGGTAACCATTTTCATATCACGATTTGAGTTCATCCACAGGTATATTTGTATTCATCAATTTGTGTGTGTGTGTGTGTGTGTGTGTGTGTGTGTGTGTGTGTGTGTGTATGTGTGTTTAACCAGGTGCAAAATAAAATATCCTGCCTATGAGACATGAGTACAATCTATCTGAATTGAAAAAAAGGGAAATAATCCCATTTTTGTTTTTATTTATTTATTTATTTATTTATTTATTTATTTATTTATTTATTTATTTATTTATTTATTTATTGTTGCATAATGAATACTAACTTTAGGTTGTCCTGGACATTGGTTGTGGTACAGGGATATTGAGTATGTTTGCTGCCACCGTGGGACAGGCAGCAAAGGTAAGACATTCAGAGTAATTTTTTTTTTAAATTTTTAATAAATATATACAACAAGTCACTGAAATAAATTCCAGGTGTTTGTGATAAAACATTTGTGAAATGTTAAACTTTGTAGCAGATTGCTAAATTTTCTGTTTTTTTTTTTTAGTTCAGTTTTGAATTTGAAAGGACATATGTTCTCTATATTGTATATATTCAAAATGTCATGAATTATTTCTAATAGGTTTATGCCGTGGAGGCTAGTGATATTGCTCATTACACTAAATCACTAGTGGATAAAAATGGCTTGGGTGAACAAATTACAGTGATTGAAGGGGAAATGGAAAACATTGTTTTACCAGAAAAAGTGGATTTGATCATATCAGAATGGATGGGGACAATGCTATTGGTAAGAAAAATGGTATATAAAATATTAGAAGTTTTAATTTTATAATACACTATTACCTTGGGTTTTGATGTATTCTAATTTTTAAAGTTAGCGGCACTTGGTGTTTGGTCACATAAGAGATAATAAACATCACCAACAAATGAATGACTTAAAAAATTTTGTTGGGCATTTAAAGCAAAAATAATAGATGAAGAACATACTTCATAATGCTATTCCTTTTCTTAATATTTATCTTTCAGTTTGAGTTCATGATTGAAACTGTGATATTAGGTCGAGACAAGTGCCTGAAAGAAGATGGTGTGATATGGCCGTCTGAAGCCCAGTTGTACCTCGCACCATGCAGTGCTCAGAGTGTGTATCAAGCTAAGGTCAAGGCCTGGGACAATGTCTATGGATATGACTTCTCCTCATTGAGGTGAGTGGGCAAAATGAAACAACTATTTCAGGGCAGTTTGATGAAGATGTTCAAGACGTACATTGTGTAATTCGAGGTTACTGACTCAAAATACAATTTCTAAATCACTATGCTTTAACCTCGAGTAGTAATGTACTTAATCAATTTTATACATTAAACAATTCTTCGCCCAGAATACACAAATGATCACCTTAAGGCTTAGTGTGCCTGACAATTTCCCACACAATTTTAAATAGCTGAAATAAGTAGACAGATCTGAAATGAAAAATCTTACAAGCAGTAAGTGGATTATGTGAAGATTATCTGTACAAAAAATGTATAAAGTGTTGTTGATGAAATTTAAATGTAACTTTTGTCCTTTTTACTAATTATTTTTACTGTGTGGCTTGTTTGCCAGTGACAGCTGCACTTTAATACTGAGGTCGCTTCTGTTATGTGTGACATATAAAAAGTGTATGTTGTGGTATAATATTTATTTTCAGAGAAGAAGCAGTGAAGGAGTTCTTTTACAAACCCATCTATAACCATAATCTGTCTGATGAAGACTGCTTAGCAGAGGAAACCTGTATTCTGCAATTGAATATGAAACACGTCCAGATACAAGACCTAGAAAAAATTGACAAGGATTTTTCATTTCTAGTTAAGAAAAGTGGACCACTGCATGGTTTCTGTAGTTGGTTCAGTGTGGGTTTTAGCCATCCGGATTCTGACAGCCCCATGGTAGTATTAAGCACAGGACCAAAACACAGGTACACAGCTCAGCAGGATTAAAAAAAATTAGTTTCATTTTACTGCAGATGTTAATTCTTTTGTACAGCTGCTTGGAGGAATTATTGTTATTATTATTATTATTATTATTATTATCCATAATATCATCCATATAACCATTTTTAGTTAACACAAGCAATGAAAGCTTCAACAGACACTATTATTGGGAGATATTTTTTTCATTCCAGTTTGGTTTTCTTTTTACATTTTGTCTCGTTTATTAGTCTCTTCTTTGTTATTAATTTTTTTCTATAATTATTGATACTTACACTTGTGAAGACAAGAAATATCTAATTCTTGAATATTTTCAGTCAAACTCACTGGCACCAGCATCTTTTCATGTTAGATGAACCTCTTTCTGTGGCTCCTGACAATGAGGTTACTGGGAGGATAACTCTGATCAGAAATACAGAGTGGAGAAGACATCTGACTGTCATCATTCAGGGCCAGGTCCTTAAGTCAGTAAACAAAGAAAGAATTCAGGTAGAAAATCTTTTTCCATGGTAATTTTTATCAACTAAAATATCTTGTAGGATAAATTAGTGATTAACTCGCCTTGTTTTTAGGTATGATCTTTTGAAAGATGAAACCTGTGGTATTTGAACTTTTTAAACTCTTAGATTATTATACTGTCCTATATTTATTCTCTTTGTTTTTTACCTTTTAAAATATGAAAGATACAATGTATGGAAAGATAGATGAAGTCCTGTACAATGTACTAAATGTATGCCAGACAAACGTCTGGGTACACATGAAATAAAACTGTCAGTCTGCAACATATACATTCTTGGTTTGTTCTCTTTTTACTGTTGAATAAGATGAAATAATTGTGTGGTTTCAGAGTTTTCACAAAGTGTTTCCCCTTTGGATGGATCAAGTGTTGAAGGATGAATATATCAAACCTAAAGACTAAGGTGAGACTCAGTTAAGCATAATGGATATGCCTGGTTAAGCATAATGATTGAATTATTGCATTGGTATTTGTTTGAGGTTATTAATTGCAAGGCTTCTTAAGATAAGACATAACACAAGATATTGTTGTTAATCTTCAGAAATGGAATGAATCCATGCACTTACAATAGAAGTGCTGTTTGCAAAGGCACAGAAACACCTTCTTCACACATGGAAAATTTCCTCCAGGGGACAATGAATACGTAGCTCCCTTTTTAGAGGCTTAAAAGTCATCCTGGAAAGTTGTGCAGATTTGATGTATAAATGGAGATGGGGTGGTGCTACTCTGGCTAAAATTTTGCTTTCTCTGTTTGAACTGTTGTTTACTTCCCTGTTCCTTGATAAATATATACTAGTGCTTGTAAGTAGGAAAATTGTGTAAGTCTTCCACTGAAACTTCAGCCTTCAAGGTTTTGATTTATAGATTTTCCTTGCTCAAAACAGATAATCAATAAAGGGAACCGGAGAAGATCAGCATTGGTCAGAATTGTGCCGGAAGTGACGTGCAGTGGTGTTAGAAACGAAGTTGAGTGGTCATTTTAACATAGAGGTGAACGGCAGTGAAGACGGGTTGTCGGAGGAAAAAGAAGTTTTCTAAACAACATGGTAAGATAACACTTTTTCTTTACGCATTTTGGGCAGAGAAAACTTGTAGAAATAATAAATGCATGATATGAAAACGTGACACGGAACTTGAAGGTGCAAATCGTGCTTAATTGGCGGTCAACTTGTTTTAAAATGAATGCTGCATCGACTGCCATTGTGACAAAGAGTGTAAATGGAAAATAATTCCCGGGAGGCTGTAAATCGTTGCCATGTGGAAATTTGGCATTAATATAATCCGATATGTCTATATCTAAGTATTTTTTGGGTGTTTTATGGTATGGGCTGCAATTAGAACGAAGTTTTAGAGGTCTTGAAGGAAGGGTAGGCATAAATCAGTGACGAATGCCAAGACAAAGGTGACATTCTGACAGCCTCTTATCTGAGCTAAAAAATCACAAGTACGCGACTGGCATTTCACTGACAAGATCTTCCCAAAAAGACAGAAAAAGAATTCAGGTGAGCTGACAGGTAATTAAGACTAGCTCAAAGTACTAATAATTGACATTATTATGCAATTCTCAGTTGGTAAAACGATTCTCACAGGTAGATAAGATGTAACATGACCAATTTCTATAGGCTAATGATTGCCAGCCTGAGGAAATTGATTTCCAGTCTCTTTTGTCAGTGATTTTTAACTCAGATAAGAGGCTGTCAGAATGTCACCTTTGTCTTGGCATTTGTCACTGATTAGCGCCTTCCCCAGTGTAAAAGGTATATCAGTGTGATCATGTGTGTGGAATTTCATGCCAGATGGACATATAAAGATCTAAAAATTCGTCAATATATTGAAAAAAAAAATCAGCTGTGCACAGCAGTCGGAGATCGGTACATTCCACTTGTTAGTTACGAACTACTTCCTGGTTTTCACAAGGTCCTTCAAGACCTCTAAAACATCGTTGTAATTGCAGCCCATACCATAAAACACCCAAAAATACTTAGATATGGACATATCGGATTATATTAATGCCAAATTTCCACATGACAACGATTTATAGACTCCCGGGAATTATTTCCCCTTTACGCTTTTTGTCGCGCTGGCGGTCGACGCAGCATTTATTTCTAAACAAGTTGACCGCAAATTAAGCACGATTTTGCACCTTCAAGTTCCGTGTCACGTTTTCATATCATGCATTTATTATTTCTACAAGTTTTCTCTGCCCAAAATGCGTAAAAAAAGAGAGTTATCTTACCATGTTGTTTAGAAAACTTCTTTTTACTCCGACAACCCGTCTTCACTGCCGTTCACCTCTATGTTAAAATGACCACTCAGCTTCGCTTCTAACACCACTGCACGTCACTTCCGGGCACAATCAATCTTCTCCGGTTCCATGTATTTAACCGTGACTTTTAAATATAACACAAGTCAATTGGTCTTTTAATTGATGCCAAATTATATGTCAGTGTATACATGTGTGTGCATGAACATATCTTTCAATTTTACAAACTTAGGGAATTTAGCTTAATATTTAAATATATGCTTTATTCATATGGTATACTTTCTATACCAGACTGAGCTGGTGAAAATGTAAAGAGATAAAGTAATACAAAAAATATATAAACTTTTACACAGATAAATAACACCAAAATTACGTAATATATAGATATGCAACGTTATCACACATACATATCCAGTATTTCATAATCATAAACTAGGTGCGGTCCTAATGCTGAGTCAACTGCTCGCAGCATTGATGGTAGACTAGCATCATACTATAAGTATTGTATACATGAATAAGATGTAGAAATAAATTGTGCATGAGCCTGTTTTCTACTTTGTGAAAAGAACATCTATACTTGCAGTAATTATTTATAGCCATAGATATCACTAAGTGGTGTTTATAACCAGTGAGACATCAATATAGTGGCAGGGCTGTAGACAGCAATTTCAAAAAGGGGGGCTCTTTTTTTTTTTTTTTTTTTTGAAAAAGTGGGCCTTTTACCATGAAACCCTTATGTACTTAGATCAAATTTTACCCAGAGTGGACCTTTTACCAGCAAAAAGGGTGGTTCATCTGACCTCCCTGGCCTGCTTTGAATGTACTTTGAATGTCTACAATATTAACAGAGTTTATTTTTTACCCTTGGTAAGAAATATCTCTTCAATCATAAAATAAACATTGCAAAAATAATATCAAGAATACGTTCTTGATAATATGGATTATTTTGGTGTGGGTGTTTTGAACTTTATGCTGTATTTGATAAAGGTGTAAAGTGGGTTGGGTCTTTTTTCAACTTAAGATGATGATAATATTGTTCTTAAAATATTCAGTAGGTGAATTGATTATCAGAAAACAAAACACTTCAGTTACTAAATGATCAAACATTGGCTATATCTGTCTCACATTGCATTTCTTTCCAAGTACGCCTAGGCCTTGGCAACAGCTTTGGGGTCTTGGAGAGCAGTTAAAAGAGATGTCTTTTTTAAAGCCCACAAAGTTTATAGCCTCTGTGCAAAGATTTAAATAGCAAATATTGGCTTTTGAGAAAATATTAATTAATTTTTTTCTAAATGATATACGTAAATAGTGGCAGAATCAAGTTATAGACTTTCACAAAGGTGAGTGTAAATTTGTAATGGTACCGTGTACCATGTACTTTGTGATACCTCTTTTATGTAAAGCTTATAACTCATCCATGAGTGAAAAAGGAGAAGATTTGAAAAGTATTAAAACAAGTCGAATATATTTCATTTAAAAAGCTCTGCAATTATCAAAATGGTTTTATATACATAGGATATAAACTAGGTTAGAATACGTAGGGGAAATCTACATAATGGGCTGATTGTCCCGATGTTCCGATTATATTATCAGACTTAAGGAGGGTTCCTTAGGAAATCTGGAGTTGAGAAGGTCACTCAGACATGTTTACAGCTAGACTGACTTAGATAGGAAATGATCTTAGCAGTGTCACCAGTGACTTCTCTTCTCTCCCACATATGGAACTACCTGCCACTGTAAAAAAGACAAAATTTAAATGATAATTACTGAAGGTTCAGAGAAGTTCATCAACCACCAGATTTTATGCATTTCAAAGTAATTTGACAATAAGTAGACAGTGGTAACCCCATCAGGCTTTAGAATTTTAAATCCCAGTTTAATGAAGCTGGTTATCCGATGGCATGAGTTATATTATATAATCATTTGGTCCATTTGTGAACACACTGTCTGTGCGGGCAAGGTAACCTAGATAAGAATATCCACGTACCGGTTTATATGCAGTAATAGTTATCTGCTGCATCAACACACATAAACGGAGGCATTAAAGAAAGACAAATACACAACCTCTATTAAGGAACCTGCCCAAGACTTTATCCCAACTCATTAATGCTCAGAGAAAATTTGACTTAAAATTCCTGAGCCAATTTCATTGATTTTTTTTTGTAAGCTACTTAAATCCCTAAGGCTCTAGTTGAGAAGGCACATTCGGGTGTGGCACATGTGTAGGGAGATGAGTGATTACAAAAAGTGTGATAATTTCAATATTCAGGGGTGAGTTGGTGAGCTTTTGATGCATTTGATTACTGAAATTCTTAAATTTGGAGCTGTTTGTTCAAATGTCTTCATGATTTTTTTTTTCAATATTTTAAGGTTATCCTGTATGAGCCATTAGAACCCATTAATGGTCGTTGGCCTCAGATTAATCCCTTTGTTTGTACTTAGTTTTATTGAATTTCTCGCAGTCATCAACTGTGCTTAAGACATTGACTGTGCTCATAGAAAAAACAAACACATTTGCAGGTTAAGTGTTTATTGTAGGCATGTCTTATCGTTATATTAGTTTGATAAGATAATATTTATGTTACCATACAGTACAGCCTTTGAATGGTTAAGGTTTTTGCTTTTTTTGACTTCTTGACATGCAAAGTTCACTGCATGACTTTAGTAAACTGTTCCTTTTTTGCAGTGTTCTTCACACCTTGTCAGGTGTGTTTTGTTTTCAATATTTTTAAAACCAATCATTGTAAGTTGACTGGCTATTCAAGGTAAGTTTACTCAACTACATAAAACATTGAAGAGAAGCATTGTTTGTACAATTATCGTTTTCAGCATATATATATATATATATATATATATATAGTAGCTGGGTGTAAGGAGGGATGGGAGGGGATAAGTGATCACTGAAAGGAAGGTTTTATTAGTCCCTAGTAGGTTGCTAACACAAGTTCCTTGTAGCTTATTATGGAGAAAATCTCTCCCACTGACATAATATATTTAGTGTGTGCTGAATATCAAATAATTAAGTTTTATGTGAAACGTTTACACTTAATCAACTCCAAAGCAGTTTAAAGGTTCAGATTTGTTTGCAACACAAAAGAACAATCACAACAAAAATTGCATTCTGTAAGCTTGGCTGCCTT